AACATTATTTATTTATTTATTTATTTATTTATTTATTTATTTATTTATTTATTTATTTATTTATTTATTTATTTATACATACCTCCCACCTATCTGGTCATTATGACCACTCTAGAGTCGTTATGACCATTCTAGGCCGCTGGACTAATGCAGGAGTGCATTAGTGGATTTATTATCTTAAATTCACTAGACTAGGCTGAAGAGTAAAAACTGCACGGACACAACGTGCACGGACACAACGGGATTCACGTCTCGGTTAACTAGCACAGAACAGGAACGGTGAGTCATTTTCACCATTTCTTGTTATTGCACCATATCCTATCAAACAAATTCTTAGGATTAAATCAAGCATATTGATATTGAAGCGCTAGATCTGACTCAGCGTTAAAAACCCTTACCTAGTCCAGAGGCCATCAAGAAGAATCTGTGAGGCGTGTAGAATCAAAACGGCCAATTTATGGAAGTAGAAACTCTTACACACCCCAAGCTAGAAAACAAGTTAAACTTGTTTGATTGAACAAGTCATTACATGCAGACGTAAGAATATAAGAAGAGCCCTGCTGGATCAGGCCAAGGGCCTGGCTAGTCCAGCTTCCTGACTCTCACAGGAGCCCCACTGGAACTACACAAGATAATGAGAGACCTGTCTTCTGATACCACTTCCCTTGCATCTGGCATTTGGAGGTAACTTCCTTTTAAACCAGGAGATTGTACATTGCCATCATGGCTTGTAAAATACCCTTTTCGTTCTTCTGACAGTTAATTAAATTGAGTATAGCCTTGCTCAGCCCATTTCAAACCATCCTCTGATCAGGTTCCTCGCCCCAAAAGCCAGGATTAGTTAAAGATGCGAGACTTTGTAAAGTTCCTTCTTCCACTCAAAGACCCCCCTCAAGTACTGGGTGTGAAGCCAGAGGTTGGGAGTTAAATTTTTCATGGTGCATCCCAGGAGATGTGGTGCTGCTGCAAGGTTGGAAGACCTGCCGTCGTAAGACTGAAACCATGTACGGAGTGAGCTCCCATCTCTTGTCCCAGCTCTGCCAACCTAGCAGTTCGAAAGCATGGAAAAATGCAAGTAGATAAATAGGTACCATCTCGGTGGGAAGGTAAACAACATTCCGGGTCTAAGTCGTGCTGGCCACGTGACCACGGAAACTGTCTTCGGACAAATGCTGGCTCTACGGCTTGGAAACGGGGATGAGCACCACGTCCTAGAGTCGGACAAGACTGGATTAAATGTCAGGGGGAACCTTTACCTTACCGTTAACATTATGCAAAACCGACACATGAAGTAGGCGTTGGGAATGTATGGCTTTCCCTAAGTTCTTGGACTGCATCTCCCCTTAGCCATAACTGATGGTGAAGAATTATGGGCATCTGCAGTCCTTCAGCATTAAGATTTCCCATCACCAGTTTAAAGCATCATCAATTACTACTGCACACACACGTACTGTACCTTAAAATGTTCCAACTCTACAAAAAAAAAAAATTCCCCTCTGTGTGACAGCAGCTTTCCATCCTCAGATGTCGAGTCATGTTAAGTCTCTTGTCGAGAAACTTTAGAAAAAGTTGAACAGCTTTTGGTGTTATAGGCAAAAACAAAATTTAAAAGTGGATAATTTTTTTTTAGAAAAAAACAATGATTTTTGTGACATCTTAAAAAGGAGCAAGGCTTTTTTTCCACATCAACTTTCCCTGGCTGCAGGCTGTTTGTTCTGATGGATGGAGTGTAAACAGGTATTCCCTCAAACACGGAGAAGGTGAAAAAGGTCTATTATAATGGTGGTCTTATCAGCTGTCCTTAAAGGTTGCTGACAATATTAGGGATCTATAACAATCAGTAGTAAAAACAATGATGATACAATTAACATAAAGAGAAACAATGGAGAATTGGCTCTGTAAATGCCAAAAGTATTTTTAAAAAGAGAGAGAAAGGTTTTTAACTGGCAGAATGTATCAGCACTTAAAAAACTTATTTCAGAGGGAAACTTAACTGACCATGCTCCACTTCTTTAGATACAGGGAGAGCAAAAAAAGAGGAGAAGATGATTTTAAAATGTCCGAAAAAGTGGATTTTCAGCCACAAAAGCGCACACTAAAAAAGTTTTTTTTAAAGTTTTGGAACGTTATTTTTCTAATGGTGACAACTTTCTCTGTGTCCCATTTCAGAACTTCTGGATTTCTCTTCCTATATCAGGGTAGTTACCTAACATGGAGAGACGCCTGAGAAACTGGGGTTTCCCGCCAAGAAAATTGTATCTGTAATTGAGAAAAATAATTTAAAACCACATGGGATGTTCACCTGTTCATCCATCTCACTCTGTGTTGCTCCCAGAAAAATCATAGTGCACCAAAGCCATGTTTAAAAAGAAAATTGGAAGAATAGAAAAAAGGGAGAATAACCTTTAAAATAAAATAAAAATGGTTTCTTTTCACTAGATGGTTCACTGTTTTATAGTAATAATTAAACACTGAATTAACATTAAAAAACTTACTTAAAATGGGGTGTGCGTGTGGATTAAAGCCCACTTCCTCTACTAATATAGTACAGGTTCTCGATCCTGTTACCCAGGCTTAAAGTACACGTGTATTAAAACTCACACGTGACACTTTATTGTACATTAATATGGAAAAGGTGTGATGGGGAAGCCCCGAACTTAGTCTCTCTGGGGGGCATTCTGACGTCTGTACAACCAGAATATTAATATATTACTTTTAATTCATAATCTTAATAAATTATCCGTTCTCGCCCCCTAAGCCTGCCTGCTAGGCCCGGTTACCATGGTAACTTCCAGAAAGACCCAGCCCCGCCTAGTATGTCCCTTTCTCGACGTGACATCATAAAACAACCAATAGCCTCCTTCCGCCTGGCCCGCGCCGTGGCCTCTGATTGGTCCGCGACAACGGTAGGACGGGCCAATGAGACCCCGGGTGGGGAAAAGCCAAAGGGAAGAGCCAGAAGGAAAGGGACGCGTCCGAGAGGCGACGGCGCGGTACCTAACGGAAGCGTGACGTCACTCCCGGAGCGGGCCAATCGACGCCGGCCAGCTGGGTGAGTCGGGGCCAATCGCGAGGCTCCAGCGAAAGGGAACGGGCCAATAGCCGGGCTCCACGCAAGGCTGCGGGAGGATATATAAAGGCGGCAGGCCGCCCGGGCCCGCCACTCGATTGAATAGCGCGAGAGGAGCGTAAGGTCTGTTGAGAGAAGCGGCGGTTGGGCGGACGCCTGGATCCAGGTAAGGCCGCGTTTGGGCCTGTTTCCCGGGGAGGGGGAAGGAAGGGAAGAAGGCCCCGAAGGAGGGCAGCTCCGTGGCGGGAGGCGGCCGTAAGAGGCTCCCCACGTGCAGCGCCGGACACTTGTTCGTCTCCCGGGTCTTGCCCGAGGGAGGTAGGGAGGGTGTTGGAGCCTCCCCATCATCATCATCTCCTCTATTTTAGGGGTGGGGGCAAGCATCGTAGGGAAAAAAAGAGGATGATGGAGGAGGAACACCCCCCCCCGGTTGGGGAAATTTTCTGTTGATTCTGCAACAGAAAATACCTTTTGTGTTGGTTTTTTTCCCCCTCCACATAACCGTTGTGTGTCTGTTCGTGTTTCCCTTGGCACAAAACCCCTGGATATGGAGCCAAGATGGGGACTGCTTGGTTTTTTCCCCCTGGGGGGTCCTTTTTGACGTCGGTTTAACGTCCCCCCCTAAAGTGTCTCTCATCATGATGTTTGTGCCCTCTTTTAATATTTCAGTGCTCATTGTTTTAGTGTTAAAATTGCGTCTTAAGGATGTTAGCTGGTCATTTAAACCTTGTCTTCTAATGATGTCAATCGCCATTTTGGGTATTTATTGTTTTTCAGCTTTAAATGCTGCGTTTCAAGGATGTAACCCCCGCCCTTGGGTCCTTTATAAGGAGAAGACATTTTAAATGAATAAATGCTGGAGATTCTCCCTTCTCCTGTTATCTATGTGGTGTGTTGTTTCGTTGGATATAGAGAGGATCTGTGTGCTTTTAAAGAGAAGAGAAATAGAGGGGGTGAACGGCTATGGTTGTGCAAATTTGATTTAAATAAAAATTTTAAATCTAAACCCATTTGGTTTATTTAAAAGAATCATTTTTTTAATCCACCCTGCTTTAGGGTCCCTCCTCTGAAAAAAAGAAATCATCCTACTAGAGGTTTCCACTTGTCCTCATCATAGCATAGCATCCGTTTTAAAGATGCTGATTGCTAAACACAGGGCAAATGGGGACTTAAGTATGGATAGAAGGAGGGAGAAGCAAATTTAAAAGGGGGTAAAAGGGTTGCGGTTGTTTGGGGAAGATTTGGGATTTTACCTCTCTGGCAGGGGAGAGGAGATGGCTTTCTCCTGGCCTTTCATTTGAAGTGACATCCTTCTAAGCAGTATTTGGTTTGCCCTTTTTTGTTTGAATGTGGTTTGAGGTGTTTTCTCTCGGAGGTAAGAACTGGATCTACGAAGTTATGCTGAATGTATTCCCCAGCAGTGTGACTTGCTTAAAAGGTTGAAAGCTGTGGCCTTCCAGAGGTTTATGGATTGCAGGGTTCAGTAGCGTCCTTGTGCAGCAGAGAGGATGGGAACTATAGTCTAACATAAGATGCTCTGTCTGTAATGAGTAATGAACTAGAAATGTTGCTTCTACAAAACTGAAGCACAGATTCTAGCATTAGGACCCTAATATTAATACCTGCCATTTTGCTTTCCTTCCCATAGTGTTTTCTCCCTTGTTGGAAGACGAAGCACGACGACAGCATGAAACTTGTTCTTGTGTGTTTGCTGCTTGTCGGCAGCGTGTTTGCTGATGAGGAGGAGAAAAGGGAAGATGTGGGAACCGTGGTCGGCATTGATTTAGGCACCACATATTCTTGGTATGTTAAAAAAGATTTTCTCATGTTAATTAAACCAGACTTTCAAAAGTCTGATGTCATGGATTAAAATTAGATTAAATCTAATTCAGCATCATTACTCACGGTGCTGGTCCAGTGGGTCAAATGCTATGTTTTAGTGTACAGTAGGACCACGTGGGGGTCAGTGCCACACACCCCATGGCATGGTTTCTGACTCCCTCCTGTGGCCAGTTCTAAATGTACCATGGTCATACATATAAATGTCTTTCTGGGGTTTTTTATTTAATATTTTAAGCCAGCAGATAAGTGAATGAGTGGACACTGCAATTCCCATGGATGGGGGAATGTCTTACTGTATTACAATTACAGATTCAGTAACTCCTGTGTAGATTGCTGCAGTGCAGAATTGGAGATAAAAACATGAGCACCGGCCAGAAATGACACCAAATGCCTTTGACCCTTGAAACACTTGGTTAGTTTGCTTCCACATACACTGATGCCACGTGTGTCCTGTTTCCACAGTGTGGGTGTCTTCAAGAATGGGCGCGTGGAGATCATCGCCAACGACCAGGGCAACCGAATCACGCCCTCCTATGTGGCCTTCACGCCCGAAGGAGAACGCCTCATCGGGGATGCTGCGAAGAACCAGCTGACCTCCAACCCTGAGAACACGGTGTTTGATGCCAAGCGTCTGATTGGTAGAACATGGAACGACCCTTCTGTACAGCAGGACATCAAATACCTGCCTTTCAAGGTGGGCCTTTTTAAATCATCTCCTTTAGAGGTTTAGCAAAAAGTATCACAATCCTTTCCCTTGGGAGCTTGCAAGCTCCTAAGTGGAACAAGATTAGTCAAGGGAGTTAATGGCTTAAAGGGATTTGAACCCAGTCCAAACACTTGCATTCAAAGGGCCAGTTCTTCAGTTCCCTTTAACCAGGATGAAAAGAGCCACTCCTGTTACATCACTTGTTGAGCATCTTTGTACAGGAAGGGGATAGAAAACCCTTGGTTCTTCAGATGTTTTGAATTACAGTTTCTGTAATTCCTTAGGGAAGACGATCCTCAATCCTGCTGGCTGAGGTTTTCTAGAATTGTTGTGCATGAATGTTATTTCAAGTATATTAAGTGTGTGGGTATGATTATTTTTCTTGCCAGGTCCTTGAGAGGAAGGCCAAGCCCCATATTCAGGTGGATATCGGAGGAGGTCAAACAAAGACATTTGCCCCAGAAGAAATCTCAGCCATGGTCCTGACTAAAATGAAGGAGACTGCAGAAGCTTACTTGGGAAAGAAGGTAAGATATTAAAGCTTTGATGGAAGATTTCTGCATCAGCTAGATGGTGCAAATGCACCTGAAGCTGTCTTCCATGGTTAGGCCGATCTCTGTACAGCAGTCTGCTTACTAGCTGTTACTGAATAGGCTTTTTAATCAAGTTCCTTCTAAACTGGATGGAACTCACAGTCTTCTACATACAGAACACGGGATCTGTTGCTTGAGTTAACGGTTATTTCCAAAAAGTGCTTATTTGTACATGAAGTATGCAGACATTGATTTCTCCAATTTGCAAAGAGCAGTTGCTTTTCCAAGCAGGCATGGAATTCTTTTAAAAGTCAAAACCAAACCAATTTGTTCAGACGGTATTAAGTCTAGGCAACAGCAAGTCAATTTAGTTTTGTCTTGCTTCTCCAGGTTACTCACGCCGTGGTCACCGTCCCAGCTTATTTCAACGACGCCCAGCGTCAGGCCACAAAAGATGCTGGCACTATTGCAGGACTGAATGTCATGAGAATCATCAATGAACCGTAAGTAGGCTCACGGAAAAGTCTTGGCGTAGAGTGGCGCTTAGGCGGGGATGAGTAGATTGAAGCTTGTCTTCCTCTCCACAGCACGGCTGCAGCCATTGCTTACGGCCTGGACAAAAGAGAGGGCGAGAAGAACATCCTGGTTTTTGACCTGGGAGGTGGAACCTTTGATGTCTCCCTTCTCACCATTGACAACGGTGTCTTTGAAGTGGTGGCCACCAACGGCGACACTCACCTGGGTGGGGAAGACTTTGACCAGCGGGTCATGGAGCACTTCATTAAGCTGTACAAGAAGAAGACGGGGAAAGATGTGAGGAAGGATAACCGAGCCGTGCAGAAACTCCGCCGTGAGGTCGAGAAAGCCAAGAGGGCCCTCTCTTCTCAACACCAGGCTAGGATTGAAATTGAATCTTTCTTTGAAGGGGAAGACTTCTCTGAGACCTTGACGAGGGCCAAGTTTGAAGAACTGAACATGGTAGGTTTCCCTTCCAGAAAAAGAGCGGTCCCCCTGATGAGCTAACGCATGCTATATTTAAGAGAGAAAGATGCAGTCAAGGGCTACCCAAATGTATTTGATGTGGTATATATGAAGGTCAAAATATACCTCCCAAACATAGGAAAGGACTTGGAATCAAAGATTATTGACAAAGAGTTTTGCTCATCTTTGTGTTCCCCCCCCCAGTGTTTTTCACTGGTGTCAATAAACATAGTCAATTGGTAATGGAAGGTAAGAATATATCTCACATAGCGTTTTTGTGTGTGTGTGTGGCTTTAATATCTATGAGACTGCTGCATGTTGTTTGCTTTTTGTCAAGAGTGTGGAATTGGGCTGGAAATTTAAAATGGGACCCTACTCCTCTCCCCCCCCTCCAGGATCTTTTCCGTTCCACCATGAAGCCTGTCCAGAAGGTTCTGGAGGATGCTGACCTCAAGAAATCAGACATTGACGAAATTGTCCTTGTCGGTGGCTCCACTCGCATCCCAAAGATACAGCAGCTGGTGAAAGAATTTTTCAACGGCAAGGAGCCCTCTCGGGGCATCAATCCTGATGAGGCCGTGGCTTACGGTGCTGCTGTACAGGCTGGTGTGCTCTCGGGGGATCAAGACACTGGTAAGCAGTGTGGCTGGTGCGCTGTGTGCATACAAGGGCAAGCCAGCCCCTAGGGGTGGTAGGACATCTGACAGCTTACTGTAATTAGCATGATCTTATTGGTAATTGACGTCCTGACCCCTCCTGTTCTTTCTCAGGCGACCTGGTGCTTCTTGATGTGTGCCCTCTAACCTTGGGCATTGAAACCGTCGGTGGTGTCATGACCAAACTTATCCCAAGGAACACGGTGGTCCCCACCAAGAAATCACAGATCTTCTCCACGGCTTCTGATAACCAGCCCACTGTGACTATCAAGGTCTATGAAGGTAAGGGATTTATTCCTCAACTCTGAATAGTTGGAGGTGTCGTTTCTATAATGCTTCAACCGCTTGCGTGGTGTGCGACAATTGGAGTGGGAACCATGGGCTGATGATGGCCAAGGCCAGGAGAGCAAACTCTGATCATGAGCAGAGTCTTCACTGCAGTTTAGCCATGAAGTTCTGTATAAATGTCTTAAGGCTCTTGAAGGAAGCCGCTGGCCTGGGTTACCGAGGCATAATCTAATAGTCGGCACTTGTGTTGACGCCTGTTTTGTGTTGGGTCTCCGCAGGAGAGCGTCCCCTCACAAAGGATAACCATCTGCTGGGAACCTTTGACTTGACCGGAATCCCTCCTGCCCCGCGGGGCGTGCCTCAGATCGAAGTCACCTTCGAGATCGACGTCAACGGGATCCTTCGAGTCACAGCCGAGGACAAAGGGACCGGCAACAAGAACAAGATCACCATCACCAACGACCAGAACCGCCTGACGCCCGAAGAGATCGAGCGGATGGTCAACGACGCCGAGAAGTTTGCCGAGGAGGACAAGAAGCTGAAGGAGCGGATCGACGCCCGCAACGAGCTGGAGAGCTACGCCTACTCGCTCAAAAACCAGATTGGGGATAAGGAGAAGCTGGGGGGCAAGCTGTCTTCGGAGGACAAAGAAACCATGGAGAAGGCCGTGGAGGAAAAGATTGAGTGGCTTGAGAGCCACCAGGATGCCGACATTGAAGACTTTAAAGCCCAAAAGAAAGAACTGGAGGAGGTGGTCCAGCCCATTGTGAGCAAGCTCTACGGCAGCGCCGGCCCTCCCCCCAGCGAGGAAGAGGCGGGCGAGAAAGACGAGTTATAGGCCCTGGGGGTTCCCCAAAAACCTCGACACTGTAAATACTGGACTTGGAACTTTTTTTGTTTAAACTATTTGAACTCTATAAAGATCTGGAATGTGATCAGAATCTTCACTTGAGTGGAGTTGGAAATGCTAGCCCAAAGTGGCTGTTTACTGCTTTTCATTAGCAGCTGATAAATGTCCGAAGCGGGGGGGGGGAGAAGGGAGGGAGGGGTGTGATAATATGCCAGGAGGGGGGCATAGAAGCGTTCACCTTGCCACCGTTCTATTTAACAAAGTTGGTCGTGTTCATTCTGTGGAGAACTTTTCTATCCTCCTAAGTGACGACAATAAATTTGTTACTCACACTGGATTTGGGTGTGGTTTGTGTATCCATAGTAGAAGTTCAGGAAGGCTGTGCCTTGCAGAGGGGGGTGTTCAGTCTGTAGTGTTCCTGATGCTGGAGATTTCACATGAAGTAGGTCTGTCACCATGACCAAGGGAAACAATGCCACAAATCTCTGAAGTAGGTATGTGCCAGGCTGTCATTTAATGGTGCTGATAAGATACAGCACATCAGTCAAGAGTGATCAAGTTGGAAGGGGCCTATAAGGCCATCAAGTCCAACCCCCTGCTCGAGGCAGGAATCCAAATCAAAGGGGATCTGCCCGGTGGTTGTCTACATTTTTTCTTGAATGCCTCCAGGGTTGGAGCGCTCGCTGCCTCCTGAGGTCATGGGATCCATTGTTCTACTATTTCAGAATTAAGAAGTTTCTGGCTTCCTGTAACATGGCAGAACTTTTGATAGCACCCCCCCAAGGGTAAAAAGTTGATTTGCCAGAATTTAACCAGCTACAATCAGCAACGACCCTAGCAAGTTGGTTTACTTAATTGGGTGGTTTACTTAATTGGACAGACTAGCCAGATACAATAATAAAATTCTTCAAACTGCACAGTTGGAACAGCCCTTACAAATCATCGAGCCTGGCTCCTGTCAAGGAGGCCTAGTGAGGGTTCAAACTTCCAACTTCTGGCTGGGGAATCTAAACCACTGAGTTCTCCAGCAGATCATTCAATTGCGTCTCTAGAGGTCTTTCTAAATGTGCTTAGCCTGTAGCTCTTTAAAATTTTGGACTTGGCATAGCACAAATTGGAGGCAGACGAGGCAGATGTTTTGGGATCGGACCTCTGAACCTTTCCCTCGTTCAGCGTGGTTTTTTTGCTGGCTTTACGAATTTTAGGAGTTCCCATTGACAGCTAGCGGGTACTTGCTTGCAGGAAAGAAGTGCAACTTTTTAGAAGGCTGTTACCAATAATTCCCGAGGAGAAATGTATATGTGTGATGGACGATCCGCAGCGTATCTTGTAGCCTTCGCAAAGTGTAGAGATTTATCTCTAGATAGCTCTGTGGTTTAGGGGCATCTGAATTCGGAACCAGGGGTTGGGGAGTTCAATTCCCCACTGGGCCTCCCGGACAAGGGCTGGACTTGAGGATCTATTTAGGGTCCCTTCAGAGCTCTGTAGTTCCAAGGTGGTGGCGGTTTCCACAGCTGCTAGCTTTCATCTAGTTTCCAACCTGGATAACCAGGTGCCCTCGGACCCGGGGTTTCGGGGAGCTGCAGTCCGAGAACATCTGGGTTGCCCCAGGTTGGGAACCACGGGTCTAAAAGCTCACTTCCATCCCATGTTACCACAGGAAGCAGAATATTGAGAGGACCTTTCGTGGCCAAATTCCTAGGTGGGATATAGATAAATAAATCCTGGGATTCTTCCAAACCTTGAATTCATTTGCAGCCCTGCAGGCTGGCTTCCTTAGAGACCGGGACGCTTGGAAGCGCAGATCCGGAAATGACCAAAGCCCGCGCCTTGAACCCATAGGCCTGCTGAGATAAGGGGAGTACTTCAGAAGGCCACAAAGAAAGGTAGTCAGTGAACATGAAATAAGGAGCACCCCAGGCTTAAGTGTCATCTCCCCTATAAATTAAAGTTGATGTCACGCTTTTAACTGCTATGGCTTTTACGAAACCGTGGCATTTTAAGAGGTTCCACCAGGTAGATGGTTGCTCTAGCCAAGAGCCAGCAGACCTTGCCCAACGCCCATGGCCTAGGCTTTTTTAGAAGTGCCGTTTCATAAAAACCAAAAGAAAGCAACTGGAATTCTCCAGCAGATTTCAGCTTCTCAGCAGATTGTGCCTTCTTTAGACTCCTTTTATTTACTTCAGAAGAGTTACAGCACCGTCCTGGTAAATCTCCCCTTTCATATTCATCCCGCCAAAGATGAAACATAAGTGGACCACGCGGGCTCTCGGGGAGGCTCCCTCTCCTTGGCGACGGTGGCCGGAGGCTTCCTTCGTCCCCGGGTCACCTTGGGCCGCGGTTTCACCGCCGGAAGGTATCTCCCATGGAAAAATGCACATGGAATGATCCAGACGGCCAGCGGGTAAGAGAGTTTTAAACTCTAACTTCATCCATTCCCTTTTTTCTGCAGCATTCAGACAAAAATCCTTTTAAGACGACTTACAGAACAAGGAGAAGGAACTCGTCAATTAGGCCATAAGGACAACAAGTTCCTCAATATTTTTCTCACCTTTCGCACAGAGCCAAAAAAGTGTCAGAACCCTAGCAGGGACAACAAGTTCCTCAATATTTTTCTCACTTTTCGCACAGAGCCAAAAACTCCCAGAATCCCCCAGGCAGCCTAGCCGAAAAGGAATTTGGTGAGTTGTAGTCTCAAAACACACCTCCTGTTCTGGTTAGGCTTAGGACAACTCACCGATGTGGTATTTGTACATGGTGTCTAACGCTCCGGCTGGATCCATCCCGCCGAAAATATATAAATGGTCTCGGAAAGCGGCGGCGGAATGGGCAGCCCGCCCTCCCGGGACAGATCCGGTGGCCGAGAGCACCTCCCATTTCATTTCATCTGCAAGAAGACAAATCCACCATTTGTCTCATCCTTGTGTGGAGCAAGTCTGATGGCTTCAAATATGGACTAGGAATTTGATTTACACACACACACAAAACACCAAATATATATATTCTTGAGCCGAGGGTTGGAAAAGGACGGGCGGGAGTGCCCTAGCACCACCAAATATATATACAGTGGTGCCCCGCACAGCGAGGTTAATCCGTTCCGATCGTAAAAACGGCCTCGTAGAGCGAATTCATCGCTCTACGAGGCGCCCGTTGTGCGAGGCACCACTGTAATCTTGAGCCGAGGATTGAAAAAGGACAGGCGGGAGTGCCCTAGCAGTGAGCACAGCCAGCAAGCAGCCGTACTTACTTATATCGATGGAAAACAGATCGTCGTAAAACGTGTCGCCAGCCAAGCCCCCGTGAATGAAGATTCTGTTGCCCACGGCCACCGTGATGTGGCCGTGGCGAGGAGCAGGAGGCTGGCCGTCCACCTCTGGCTGGAGCCACGTCCGGGTAACTAGGAGGGGAGAGAATAAATCCATTAAAAATAGCAAAGGGAAACCTTTTCCTACCAGAGGACTGAAGTATACTTCTAATTAAGTTCTGGGGAGGCCATGTGCCAGAGGTGGGAAAAGGGAGAAATGCCAGCATTTTGTAATGTCAACCTGTAAGTAGGTCTCAAACATTCAGGGTGGGGGAAAGCCCCATATGAAAGCTAGAGAGCAAATGAAAATAAGGATGTGGTCAAGAACGTTTCTGGGGAGCCAGAAGGACATGGATTTGGCCTCGGGACCTAAAGTTTCTCGTCCCTGCACTAGGCCTAGAGGGAAAGCTAATTCCTTGGGATTTCCAGTGAAAAGTTTAGACAATGATGGGAAAGACCTCTTGACTTGAAAATGCAGGAGAGGGGAGCCACTGTTACTCAAAATAAACATTAATTGGCAAACTGGACTCTGTTTAAGACGAGAAACTATGCTTTCTGCACCATGTAAAATTCTATCAGTCTCTGTTGTATTGTTTCCTTTCCACCCACAACCCAAAAACAATTGAGCTCGATGGCTTTACAAGCCCCTTCCCCTTCTATGAATGTGGCCATCATGTGGGGATGAAATTCCAGTCCTCCACCCCACCCCTTACTAATCTCTCCGGCTGCCTTAGCCTTCACCTCCTCCAGCTCTATCACTTCTAATCTTAAAATAGAAGAATTGACCCAGACTGTGCACGTTATTCAAAATGGGACACAGTCATTGATTTAGCTTTGACCCAAGAGTATTTCTATAGTATACAGTTGTAGCAGATTGCTAAACTTTAACTGCTAAGGCTTCCTCCTACGTATATAATCTTGACATTAATAGCTGTATGTTGAGTAGCACTGATAGGAGCTACATCCTAACACCTCTGGATGACCATATATTTCTTGATCGTGGTTTCTATGTATTCACACACAGATTTCTGTGCATACACGAAACATCAGTGATGTTCACACATGCAGGGAAACCCGTGAGCGAATTCACAGAAGACCACTCAAAAGAACCACAGTTAGAGATAAGTCACGAGTTCTTCTTCATTGCGATCTACCTGTGGATCACACACACACGGGTTTCCACACATGTGCAAAACGTCAACCAGCAACGTTTCACAGATGCGCAGAAACCCACGTAAATGTGGATTCACACAACGACCACTCAAAGAATGACAGCAACAAGTAAGTAAATCTCCTGTTCTTCCCTGCCCCATTTTTCGATCCGGGCAGATGAAGCGTTCACCTTTCAGGAACGCCCAAACAAAACGCCGCATTTACCGGAATCAAAGATATGCAGTTGCTGATCCTGGACGGGGTCCGCTCCTTTCTCGCCCCCGCCAAACACATACAAGCGGTCCCCGATGGCGGCCGTAGAGGTATGATACGTCCGAGGGGAGGGGGGCGTCCCGGTCACTTTCGGCGTCTCCCAAGCCCCGGTTGCTAAGAAGAAAGGACAATGATAAATGAATATTCGCAACCAGGAAGACTAGAAAAATGGGGCCTGTGTATATTTTGTTGATTGCTTAACATTTGTTCCCAGTATATCTCCATGAAGAATTATATATGTGTGATGTCTGAATGTCGCCATGATAACTAGGGAGTGTCCGACGCAGACTCTGGAGATCTGGGTTTGAATCCCCGCTTAGCTATGGAAGCTCACTAGAGGGGGTGGCCATGGTAAACTACTTCTTGAGCATCTCCGCATCCCCCCCGCAACCCTATATAATGCGCCATTATTTGATGAGCAAGAGAACGGTAACGCGTGCAAATGCTTACAGAGTTTCACAACCTGCAGACAATTCCTGTTCCCGTCTTCGCTGGCCCCTCCGTACACCCAGAGGCTTGTGGGCTGGCTCGCGGGAACGAAGGCCGCGTGTTCGTATCGGGGCAGGAGGCCGGCCCATCCCGTTGGAATCCAGCGGTGTGACTCTGTCGGGGATTAAAAAGGGGACAAACTGAAGCCTTCGGTCTTTTGCTACCAGAGGGCAGAGTACTGAGCTATTTGCAACACACGGAATCAGAGATCTGGAGAGCCGGAAGGGGCCTCGTGGGTCATCCAGACCAATTTCTTCCTGAAGCAGCACATTTAGAGCTAAAGCATTTGGACCAGTGATGCCGACCCCCCCCCCAGATTTAAAAAACTCCAGTGGAGGTGAGTCCATCACAGGCCTGGTTCCACTTGTCAAACTGGTTGCAATTTCAAGACATACTTCCTAATCTTTAGGCATCATGTCCTCTCTTATAATACAGAAGGACTGTACTAAGCTCCCTCCATTGTTCCCCACAGAGCCCTTTGACCCTCCTGGTGGTCCAGCTCTGGACATGTTCCAGATTGTCCGTATCCTCCTTAAACTGGGGTGCCCAGTTTACTGGCATACTGGACACAGTGTTCAAGGAAATATCTGACCAAAGCAGAATAGAGTGGTAGTAACTTTCCTAGAAGCAGCCTAGTTAATTCAAGCCATGTGGACTAGGAACTTGATTATTTTAAAAAAAACGGAAGCAGAGTTTCTTACACAATGTGATCATCTCAGTATGAACTATGCACTTCAGCACATCCTCATCTCTTACCAAGATCAAGAAAGTACGAATCAGAGAAGCTGCCGTCCGGGTTCGCGCCGGCAACGATGGCGACTTTTCCCTTCGCGCTTCCCGATTCCAGAGGCAAATAGAGAGCATCTTGGCCCACGCGGGCGCTGGGACCCTCCCCGGATGGAACCAAAGAGTACCTGAAACACAGGGGGATTTGTGGGGGGGGGGCATCCGTGAACGACTGCCCTTCTGTGCGGCTCAGGGGCAAAGTTGCAGACCAGAAAGTCTGCCATGATCTCACCATTTGATCCAGGGAGAGGACCCTGCCTCTGCATTACGATAAGACCTCAGCCCCACAAGAGTTGTTATTGCTAAGCAGGACTATTGGGGGCACCCCATTTACTGTTCTGACCACCACTCCCAGAATCCTATATACTGTGCTGGAGGCTTCTGGGAGCTCCGCCAGGGGTCCCCTCCAGATGTTCTTCGATGGTAACGCCCAGAAATCCTGGCCAGCCCAGAGGGTGGATGGAGGCTTCTGGGAATTGCAGTCCAAGAACATCTGGGGAGGACCAGAAGCTGACATTGCTTTAACTACAGTACCTGAAGGAATCAGGACCGGTCTCTGCCCCGGGGAGGTTGCAATCGATCCAAGCCGGGGAAGAAGGGAGCAAAAGAGAGGAAGCCTGCAAGAGCGGCTGTGGGCCACGTGTCCCCCCCAAGGGCCTCCCCACCATCCCCACGTGACGCTCCTCCTCGCAAGCTCGGGTCCCCAGTTGCATTCACACGTGCCACGAAGCCCTTTCCATCTTTGATGCGGAATTTTTTTTTGGGGGGGGGAACGCTGCAAAACATCCGTGTCCGCCCCACTCGCGGCAGCTGCACGGCTTCCAACGCCTGGCAAACCCGCTCCCGCCCCTCCTCCCCGCGACCTGACCCCTTCCCCGCCCTGCATTCACACGTGCAAACGCACCAGCTGCCTCCCTCCGGGCTGTCTCCCGGCTTCAGCTCCCGCAGCGGCGCCCGCGATCCCGGCTCCGACCCCATGGAAGCCGAGCGAGGAGGAGGAGGAGGAGAGAGCCCCGAGGGGGGCGGAGCTTGAAGCCAGCGCCACGCCCCTCCCGGGCCCGTCGCTAGGAGACCTGCAGCCCCGCCCCCAGGCGCGTCCAACCGCAGGGAGCCCCTTTCTCCCACGCTGCCTGCGAGGTTTCTTTTGCTTTCTGACAGCAGCCCGCTTTCCATTGGGGTGTTTCTCTTCCTTCACTCTCTTGACAGCCCCCCAAAATGTTCATTTTAATTTTTAACAGGTAGGGTATATATTGCTAGCGGTGCCTCTGAGCATGGGCAGATTTCTCTTCCATCCTAGCCTGAGAGGCTAGGACAGATGCCCTCTCTGGACCCCAGTGCCCGTCGGTCGGCAGACAAATCATATTTTAGAAGTGTGGAGCTGGAAGGGTCGTCGAGTCCAGCCCCCCTGTCCGGGAGGCCCAGCGGGGGATTCGAACTCCCAACCTCCAGCTCTGTAGCCAGAGATCTGAACCCCGGAGATATCCTGCAGTTAATAATGATCTTACAACAGCAGAGTTGGAAGGGGCCCTATAGATCTTCGAATCCAGCCCCTGTACAGAAGGCCTTATCGGGGAATCGAACTCTGAACCTCTGGCTCTGCAGCCGGAGACTTAAACCCCTGACCAGTCCAGCCGTTCTGTTTGATGAGATGAAGCCCCAGGAAGGGCGGCTCACCTTTTTAATAGATCACAGGGATCCCACCTCGAAATACATATCTGCAGGAGGTTGGTTCAAAGCCCGCCCCCCCCGGGTGGATATTGAAAAACATGGATTATAGTGAACTCAGATGGACTCAATGAAAGCCGATAAACACTTCGTGAGACCTAAGAGCCATTATTCCTGTTTAAACCTCTGACGGTAAACTGGAACTTTGTAATGCGGCTAGCATGTAACGGAGAACAGGGACTGCAAGTCATAAATTACCATAAATTTATCTTCAACATTTATGCAAATCAATGTCCACAGGCATTCACCCTTATTAGGATTCTGGATGAAGTAACGAATAACTTTAATAAATCAGCCCACCGTGTACTCTACTAACTCTCATTTTCATAGGTAAAGGTTCCCCTTGATGTTTAGTCCAGTCGTGTCTGACTCTAGGGTGCGGTGCTCATCCCCGTCTCCAAGCCGTAGAGCCAGCGTTTGTCCGTAGACAGTTTCCGTGGTCACGTGGCCGGTGTGATTAGACAGGGAACGCCGTGACCTTCCCACCGGGGGGGTCCCTATTTATCTACTCACATTTTTACATGCTTTCGAACTGCTAGGCTGTCAGGAGCTGGAACCAGCGACGGGAACTCATTCCGTTACACGGATTCGATCTTACGACGGCTGGTCTTCCGACCTCGCAGCCCAGAGGCTTTTGCGGTTTAACCCGCCGCGCCACCCACGTCCCTCTCATTTTCATAACTAAGCTATATATTGCCTCTAGTAATCAAATACATAATACCAAGGCTTTGTACTTAACAATAATTGCTCAGAAAAGGACATTTAGATCATCACGGCATCATTTGAATGGTTAGGCTGTTTCTTACCTAGGCTGTTTTTCACAGTACACCAGTGCGGCCATATTAATTAGTCAAACAGAAATTTCCAAAGCAGCTATTTCCGTCAGTCTGTTGAAATGAAGCGAGCAGTCCTCCCGCACCTTAAGGGCAAACAGATTTTATGATGAGAAGCCACAAGAAGTTTTTGGAATATTCTCAACCATCTATGGTACGATATTAATTAGGCCAAAAACTTCCAGGTCTCCATCCAAGAACCATGAAACCAGTTTGATAAGCCTGGCTCTGTTTTTTTAGCTCCCAGTAACAAAAACTGCAACAAACAGTTCAAGCAAGGTAGCCTTTTTTTCACTGATATCAATATCACCTTATAGAGCCAACTACAAAGGAAGAAGTGGGCGAAGTTCCACGAAAATATATTTCATTAAAATATATTTCATTAAAATATACAAAAATGTGACAGTTAAGTCTTTAATGTGCCACAACATTTTTGTCTTTTTCAGATTTTGTTTTTGCCTGAAATGCTTGCTCAGACTCACACGGCCCCTCTTCTACATACTACATATATTTATTTTATTTTATTTATTCCATTTATACCCCACCTATCTGTTCATATTGACCACTGTACATACAATTAATATTGTATGTACGTACTTATGTGTATGTATGTGCGTATTTGTATACTTATTGAGCTTTGCCTTAATATTATCCGTTAATGTTTTTAAGCTGAACTGTTTAACGCTCATTGTTTGCATCTTTTGTCTTTTACTGTCGTAAGGCACCTTTGGGGTCCTTTTCAAGGAGAAAGGTGAGGTAAAAAATCTTTTAAATTAAATAAAAAACATGTATTTTATACACCCACCCACCCGTATGTATAATATATGCAATATGTAGAAGAGGAAGACATGGGAGTCTCTCGCTGTAAAACATACTGTATTAATATATATTATTATATATATTTTTAAAATATCTCTACTTCGCCTTTCTCAAGACGGACCAAGGCGGCTCACAACCTAAAAAACAAACGGTGTAGAATAAAACGAACCCTCATTTAATAGTTTTAATGCGTGTTTTTTTTCCCCACACACACACTGGCTCTTAACCTTTTTCTTCATTGCTTCGCTCTGACAGAACAAGAAACAACATCTCCCAGGAGGCCTTGCGCTCTTCCCCCCTCCCCGTCCCCCGCGCGATCCTTTGACGTCACACAGGAGTCCAGAACAGGGAGGCGGGACCGGAAGTGACCTTTCTGAGGGCCGGAAAGAAAGCCCTCAGTGGGGATTTCAAGCCCAATCACACACACACCGGAAGTGCCCGGTTTCATTTCCGGTCTTGGCTCGCCTTCCTGTTCCGACGAGGAGCGCGAAGGGACCGGAAAAGAGCGACGACCCGCCCGGGGGGGGGAAACCTCCCCGTGGTTTCTTTTTTTCTTCGCTTCGGCGGGGACTTCCGGCGGAGGCTTCTGCTCCCCCTGCCGAGGCCTAACCCGGAAGTCACAGGCCTCGCTTCCGGTCCTTCGCGGTCTCCTTTCCCCCCTCCCTCGCCTGCCTTTCCTTCCATCTCCCCTTTTCTCTCTTTCTCTCTCTTTTTAATCTCTCCCCCTCCTCTCCCCCCCCTCCGGGGCAGACTTCCCAAAATGGCGCCCCTGGACTTGGACAAGTACGTGGAGATCGCGCGGCTCTGCAAGTACCTGCCCGAGAACGACCTCAAGGTGAGGCCCGAGGGAGGAGGAAGAGGAGGAGGAAGAAGCTGTGGGTGGGCTTGAAGGCGAGCAGCTGGCCCAGCCTCCTCCTTTGGAAGGGGGGGGTCAAGGCTGAGGCCCCCCCCTTCCTTCCCTCCCTCCCAGGTCTGTTTTGTGAGAGAGGCTCCTTCTGGCCCAGGGTCCTCCTCTGAGCTCGGCCCCCACCCACACCACAGCCCTGCGAGGTCGGCCAGGGAGGGAGGGAGGGAGACGTCTGTGGCCGGCCTGAGGTCCTCAGGACGTCTCCTGGCCCAGCTGGGCTCTGCAGAGCCCCGGGTCCCGAACAAAAGAGTGACCCACCACTTGCCCCATAGGGGCAATAAAGTACAATATCTGTCAATATTGTGCCAGCGCTTTACTCCAGAGTAAGTCTCGTGGGGGCTCACTCAGAAGTCTGTGTCATGTGGTAGCCTTAAAGGAAAAGTGAGTATTGGATCCTGCTTTGGGATGAGTTGGGTCATTAGATTATCGGGCTTTTGGGGCTTGATGGGAAGAAGAGGCTGCATCGTGGGAGAAGTCTGTGTCATGTGGTAGCCTTAAAGGGAAAGTGAATATCGGAGTCTGCTTTGGGATGAGTTGGGTCATTCGATTGTCAGGCTTTTGGGGCTTGATATGGGAAGAAGAGGGATCGTGGAGTTGGAAGGGGGGCCTCAAAAGTCATCCAGCCCAACCCCCTGCTCAAGGAAGGAATCCAAATCAAAGCAGATCTGACAGAGGACTATCCACTTTTCTCTTAAAGACCTCCAACGTTGGAGCACTCCCCACCTCCCGAGGTCATGGTTTCCGTTGTCGTACTGCTCTAACAGTTAAGAAGAGTTTTTCCTGATCTTCGGACTACATCTGGCTTCCTGTCGCTTGCGTCCCTTATTTTGTGTCCTGCACTCGGGGATGATGGAGGACAGAGCCGTTGGTTCCATTGTTGTACTGCTCTAACAGTTATGAGACGATTAATGGAGTTGTAGTAGTTTCTCATGATAATCGCAGGGCTTTGGACTGTTGTTTGTTTTTGTTTGATGGATGGTTTGCTTTTTGCCAGATGGAAATTGTGCATGGAAATTGAATGTTTTTTATATTTTTGAGCTACCCACATCATTGTAATTCGTGTTATGGGGAAATGGACTTCAGTTTCTGCGCTACCTTTATACTATGCTCTTTTCCCCAAGGACCTCAACAGATTATATGTGCTTTCCCCCAACTATCTTATCCTCCAAACAGCCCCGTGAGGTGTTTTAGGCTGAAAGAGAGAAGGAGAGTGTGAATGCAGTAGAGTGTATGAGCTGTGTGTTGGAGATGGAGATGGAACCCAAGTCTCTCCAGTCCTGATGAATCCAGTGGATTCATGTTTTTGTTTTATTTATATCCCGCCTATCTGGTCGGTTAAGACCACTCTTATCCAGCCTCTCTTCTACAGATCACAAGGTGGCATTCACGACCCTCCCCTTCTGAAAACCTTCACAACAGCCCTGTAGGTAGACCCAAGCTCTCTGAAGGAACTTCATGTCTAAGCGGAAATTGGAACCCCAGTCTTCCCAGTGCTAATCCAGCACCCTTCTTGCTGACAGCCTACAAAGGGATTTGCTTTGCATGCCAGCATTTCAAGGGCATGACGCCTTTGGATGGATGGGTTCCTTTCCCTGGGAGTGGGTGTTTGTTTGGCCCGTTGCTTGGAGATGGCCTCCAGGAAATGGGTTTGCAGCTTAATGTATTGTGTATTCACCCATAACTCTTTTTGTAGCTTAGCAACACTCTCTTTTTCTCCATGATCTGCAGCTTAATGTATTGTGTATTCACCCATAGCTCTTTGCAGCTTAGCAACACTCTCTTTTTCTCTTTGTGCTTTTTATATGCTCGTTCTAAGATGATTCTCCTCCTTCTTTGCTGTCCAGTTGCTTCTGCCTTATGGTGATCCCATGAATTAATACCCTCGAAAAGGATCAACTGTTAACAGGCCCTCCTTAGATCTTCCAGATTTAAAGCAGTGGATTCCTTTAGTACTTCAATTCTTTCCCTTTTCCTACTACCTTCTACTTTGCCTGGCATTACTGTCTTTTCTAGGTGGACAGATTTGTGTCTGACTGATGCATGCCCTGTAGGAGCACTACATGGAGACAGAAGAGTACACATTAGTTGTGCCTTTCCTTTGGTCCATCATAATAACACTATTTCTGTTTTGTGACCCTGTGCATTGGTTTAAACATCTGCCCGGTCTGCCCTGTTATCTTTTTAATTTAAATTTTCTATTTTTGGCAGAAGGATGAGACTTAAATTAAACACGTTGATTGTAAAACACAGTCCAGATCCCTGCCACTCAAAACTGGAGAGTTCTCAGAGAATAGTATGGATAGACAAAGTCTCTGATCGTTCATGTAGAGAGCACAAGTTTTAGCTAATTAATAGGAAAGAAGATAATTAGATTCATTGCTAGGAAGACCCCTTGGGGCTAACAAGGTCATAGGTTTGGTGCCAGCCATGCCTTTCTGTGAAATATATTCTGGGTACTGCCATTTAAAAGGCTCTTTCGGATGGCTGCTTCTTTTAATTTAATGCAAGGGCCTCTGAAATGCTGATGCCTGTCTTACAGTCCAGGTAGGTATATACTGGGGGGTGGGTGGGAAGGATTTTCACAGCAGACATTTTAGAGCTTTAAAGACTGTAGCGCCTTTCACTGGACGTGCAGAGAAACTGGCAGCCAGTCCAGATTGCAAATAGCTGACCAATATACTTGTTGTTGCCAGTCCTTGTCCCGAAAGCCTTCGTGCAGAAATCTTGCGAGTTTGCTAGGAGAGAAGTCTTGAACTTACTGGAAGTGATTTTCCCTGTTTTCTAGCGCTTGTGTGACTACGTCTGTGACCTGCTTCTGGAAGAATCCAACGTGCAGCCGGTTTCTACGCCAGTAACAGTCTGTGGCGACATACATGGACAGGTGAAATTTCATGTTGGCTGGGCTTTCGACCGTGTTGCCTCCAACACAAGAACAGGAGGCAGTTTTTCCTGTGATCACAGACCATATTCATACCACATGGCTATTTTATAAGGTTTTTTCCCCCCTGTCTGAGGTTCACATGCCAAACAGGTTTTAATTTCTTTGACAAATCTGCATGAAACTGGATGATCAGGCAGATAGGGGTTGTTTTAAAGCCATATATGAGATTTTTATATTTGAGCATTCATTCCCTTCATCCACTGGGCTCTGTACAGCCCACGATAGCCACCAGCTTCCTTTTGAAATAATTGTTCCGGTTAGCAAAACGATCGCCGTCGTAAAAAGATGTAGATTCGGAGTACTCCAGAATTCATGCACTTTGTTGATAATTAACACTTGGCCTTGTTAACGTTTTTCTTCTTGTTTTTTCTCTTTTTGTTCCTTTTTCCTTTCAGTTTTACGATCTATGTGAATTATTCAGAACCGGAGGCCAGGTTCCTGACACAAACTACATATTTATGGTATGTACAAATGAAACAACTGACTGGATTGCTCGGTGATTTAAATATCTGGCAGTGGAGCCAGAAGTTGGCAGTTCAATACCTTATTGTGCCTCCTAGAAAAATATTAGAAGTGCATAGCAAGTGGGTTTTGAAATGTACCGTTAATTTTGTGACATGGTGAAGCAGAGTAGCTGTCTGCTTTAATTTTGTTTTGGGTCCTTCGTTCTTGCTTGCTATGTCCTGCCTCTTTCCTTTTTTAGCATAATCCAAGAAAAAGTGATTGAGCTCATAGTGGCTTGTCAGAAAAGAAATTGAATGGGATGCCTTATCAGAAGTACTTGGAAAAATTCTTCGTACCTGGTTGCCTGCATGCCTGGAAATCTGAAATGTACTCAACCCTATACAGGGAAAGATTAAAAAATAGGTCAATTTTTTTATCAGTGTAGGGAGAAAGAGGATTTATTGGTCCTTTGGCCCAGGATATTGTTGAACATCTATTGAGCATAAAGTCCTGCCCATGTAATATGTTCTGTGCATGTTTATGCTGAATTAAGTCTTAGCAAGGACCAAATCTTTTGTTAGCATTTCAGTTTTGGTAGTTAGTTTTGGCTATTGTGGTAACGACTGCGGTTGAGGGTCGAACAGACATGGGGAGCAATGGGGAGCCAGTGAAATGATAAAGCCACAATAACCTGAATCCTACTTACTACCAAAAAATCTCTATAATATTGGAGCTTGAATATGTCATGTTTTTTAATATATAAATATTGTGGCTTTTTTAACTTTCAGGGTGATTTTGTAGACCGAGGCTACTACAGTCTTGAGACATTTACTTATCTTCTGGCCCTAAAAGCAAAATGGCCTGATCGTATCACACTTTTGCGTGGGAATCATGAAAGCAGGCAGATAACCCAAGTGTACGGATTTTATGGTAGGTTTTCAACAATTGTCAGTTAGAATTGAAATGCAATTCGCCTTTATAGGAACCTACAGAGTTTGTGTGGTTGCCATAATTTTTAAATAATATGTCAGTTTATCAGAAGTCTCATCTTGAACCATTTGTGATAATATTGAACATTTGTTTTGCATGAGATGTGTCTTTGTAAGTTTTCTTTCTCCGTTGGTGCACATATTAAAAGGATTACTTGTTTTTCCACTTATATGAAGGATCTTGAAAATCAGTCTTGTACAACAGCTAGATCTGTTTTGAAAGTTTTTTGCTCTTGAGATGCCACAGGGAATACCCAGATTTATGGCTGAAATCCTATTGAGTAGCTATGCCTGCATAACTTGATGTTACAGAAGTGACCGCTTGAATTGTGCTAAGGTGGAAGTGCGGTTCACAAAGCACTCCTGCAGGTTCATTGTGCAGTTGGTCACTACGGAAGCTGTGCGATGGATTGCACAATCAGACTGGGCAATTCTCGTTGCCTGGGTGCAACGAGACATAACTTTGCATTATAGAAAGACAAAGAGAATTCCAGCTAGTGAGTGATTTGTGCAGGTACCTGAGCTAAACTAAACGTTTAGCTACAAAATAACAGAAGTAGGAATAGGAAAAGCTTTTCACCTGGAAAGAAATCCTGTCGTTTGATGCTGCCTCAGAGATGAGGAACAAATGTTTCTGCTGATACTGGATGGCAACTTCTATTAGTGAGGAATTACGGGATTTGCAGTTTACCAGAATCTGGGCCGTGGGGGAGGGGAAGGCTTCTTTTGTTACTGGCTTTGTTGAGATGAGCAATTGTGACAAAAGAAACCTGGTTTCCTTTACTCTCTTCCTTTTCTCTGCAACAGATGAATGCCAAACCAAATACGGTAATGCTAATGCCTGGAGATACTGTACCAAAGTCTTTGACATGCTCACAGTAGCAGCGGTAAGGACTTTTAATTTTTTTTTTAAACAACGTATCTTGAAAGTTTAAAATCGGTGGCACAGAGCCACTGGCAGAATGTTTGGTGCCACCTTCTCCCCTCACAAATGTGGCAGCCTACGGTGGCACCCAAAAAATGAGCTCCAAGACCCCTATTTTGTCCAGGTCTGGGGAGAAAAGATTCACCTCCACCTCTTGTTTCATTGACATCTTCTCCGTCTGGGATTTGATCCTACCCTTTTGGTTTCTGTTCCTCAAACCATATGTTTCCCCAAACATCTTCTGTATTTGGAATTCAGGGTGTTAATCCAATCCTATCCTTCCCGCCCCCTCCCCTTCAGCTAATTGACGAACAGATCCTCTGCGTGCACGGCGGCCTCTCTCCAGACATCAAAACCCTGGATCAGATCCGAACCATTGAGCGCAACCAAGAGATTCCGCACAAAGGAGCTTTTTGTGACCTTGTCTGGTCCGATCCAGAAGATGTGGACACCTGGGCCATTAGTCCCCGAGGTGCCGGCTGGCTGTTTGGGGCGAAAGTCACTAACGAGGTAAAAACAAGCATCTTAAAAAAAGAGTACATCTCTTGCTCGTGGGCTCCACAGCTGCTTTGTGTCTTTATTGAAGTATTGTTTGAGAAATATGGACAGATATACTGTATAGGGTTGTACTCTTCCCCCCCGCCAAGCAAGGACAATAACTGCATGTGGTTGTCCGGAGAAGATTTGGGACTTTGGAATGTGTTTGAGTTTTGCTTTCCTCTCGGACGTCTGATACAGAATTCGATTACTTGAAACAAGACAAAACTGTTAGAGCCTGCTTCATTCAAGTCACATTGCTGAGGTGGTCAGAAGAGCTTGGAAAAAGTCCCTTTTGGGGACTTTTCTTGACCCCTTCGTCCTCCCTCCAGTGTTGGAACCAGTCCAGCCCCAAATGTAGCATTTTAAAAAATGCCTCCGTTGTTGCTGGACTGTTTGGCTCACATGTTTGGCTTTGGAAATTCCCTTTAAGAAAAGCGCCAGCGTGTAGAATAAAAGTGGGAATATAGGATTAAGAAGAAGAGAGTCCTCAAAAAAATGAGGGGATGTTTTAACGTGTAGCTCATAGAATATCGTCTTAAGGAATGGAAGGAGGTTTGGGTTGGTCATCTGCAGGTAGCCATGGGGGCTGTCAGGAAAGTAAGCATTGCCTGATCAAGCATTTGCTGTAATGTTTTTTCTCCCTCTTCTTTTTTTCCATCTGTCTGTTTTTACCAGTTTGTTCACATCAACAACTTAAAGCTCATTTGCCGAGCCCACCAGCTGGTCCACGAAGGTTACAAATTCATGTTTGACGAGAAGCTGGTAACGGTGTGGTCGGCTCCGAACTACTGCTATCGCTGCGGGAATATCGCCTCAATCATGGTCTTTAAAGATGTAAATACGAGGGAACCAAAGCTCTTCCGTGCAGTCCCAGACTCTGAACGGGTGATCCCGCCACGAACCACCACACCGTATTTCCTCTGAGACATTGCTCTGGTTCCTTGTCCAGGTTTCTGTGTGACATCCTTTTTTTTATCGAGCCCTTTGCTGCTGAAATGCTGCCTCTTGCCTTGTTGGGTTTTTTTATTTTTAAATTATCTAAATGTGTTGTACATCGTCCGTAGTGGTACATATCCTGATTCCACTTCCCCCTCTACACACGCACATATTTTTTTTTGCTCCCACGCCTCCTTTCTCAGGATCATCTTAAGTGCTTTTGAAATGTCTCCAAGCACTTATTGTGCTGTTTTATAGTTCTTGGGGTTTTGTGTTTTGTTTTGTTTTCAGGGGGAAAATAAACTTTCCCTTCAGATAAAATAAAATAAAACAGAGCAAGACATCAGAACTAGTCTGATCTCCTTATTTCATCCAGGTGTTGGTCTTTGGAGAGGGATGGGTGGGTGGGTGGTGTGTTTTTTGTTTGTTTGTTTTTTTGGCTAAAGTTTTAAGAAATTTCAGCAGCAAAGTTGTATTTGGTACACATGGTGGGACCTATCGAAGTACACATGGCGAAGATGGAAAAGTGAATCGTCCTTGTTTATACTTTGTTTTAACTTGGTATAAATAAGCCCCCCCTACTCCCAGTTTTCTTTTTCCTTGGGTTTTGTTTTTAATTTTTAGGATCCCAATTAAAAATACAGGAACCCGCTACAAGTATTTCAATTTGTATATTAAAATAATTGTTCTGATTTTTCTCAGATACCTTGTATTTTTAATAAAGTCGTATCTTGGACTCTGACTCTAGGTGAAACATTCAAAAATAAAATGCTTCGTTGTCAACGTGAATGTTGCGTCTTTTCATTTTCGTCTCCTGGAAGATTGATGGCATCTTTGCCAGGATGTGGATATGCTTTGGAAACTCTGGATGTTTAAAAACTAGGCCTGCTCAGAGTCCTAAGGGAGGTGAATAGTTGAAGATAATGAAAAATATATCAGACATAATTGTTGCTGGCAGCAGGTATATTGATTTATTAGTTTTTATTCAGGCATCCTGTATAAATGCTGGACCATCTTGTTTTAAGTAAGGAGCATGACTGGCACAGTTATGCAAGAGATAAACCTCTCCATTTATACTTTATCTTACATTGTCTCTGATACCCTGAAAAAATTGCTGTCAGATTCTGGAATACAACTGAGTCATTGTAAGGATCTCTCTGTGTTTGCTATACTAGAGAATGGCCCCTTAACACTTCAGTTTCCAAAATCCCTGATACATAATTGCTGGCTGATACTGTATCAAAATCGGGATCTGAATTAGAAGTCAGAAATAATTACTTCTTTTAAAAAACCCACTGATGTTGGGATCCCAGTTTTTCCAAGATTTGCAATGTGGGGTGGCGATACACTGATTGATGCTATGGACAACAAGTATAGAACTGTGAGTTTAAAAGTTTTTCCAAGATTTGCAATGTGGGGTGGTGACACACTGATTGATGCTATGGATAACAACTATAGAACTGTGAGTTTAGATCAAATGGACAGAGGAAAATTGAATGGGGATGCTGTGGTGGTGGGTGACCATTTTATTTATTTACTGTATTTATTTATTTATTTAACTTATATGGACCAAAAAAATCTCAACTGGCAAGGTTTGATTGGTTGTAAGGGGACACTCCATGATCTGCCATTGGTTCTGATTGGTTGTAAGGGGACACTCCATGATCACCCATTGGTTCTTTTTTTAAACAAAAATAAAAGTATCGGAAGTGACAAAATTCTAGTGTCGGTGAATCTGACTGGCCGATGATTCCTGGACGGTTTTAAAAATAAATAAATAAATAAAAGTATCAGAAGTGACAAAATTCTAGTCGGTGAATCTGACTGGCCGGTGATTCCTGGACAGGATGTATATAAAGCCACCCCGCTCAGCGGAGCCCCTGAGCTGAAATCACTTGGAAAGAGGAACGGGTGCCCGTCATGAAGAAAGGAAAGCTGAAGAGAACGCCATCCAATGAGAAATTGTGAATCTGCAGGGATCGCCATGCGGGACCAAAAGGAAGACTGAAGACTTGTTAGCTAGCTAGCGAATTAATAAGAAATTGAGCTTTTAGTTATTGGGTGAAGGCTAATATAGGGAGAAGAACGGTATATAGCTTTTTAACAGCCGTCTTACTAAAAGTTGTAGAAATCATAGCAGAGACTATAACAAGTCCTTTAATAAGCAACCCTGAAAAGGGTTGCCATAAGTCAGAATCGACTGATGGCACATTGATTATTATTTTTAGCATAACTGAATTCCATTATTGGTGGAAGGCAGACTTGACAGTGGAGGAAAATATAGTTTTAAAATAATTGGTGTTTTATACACCATAGGGATGTGAGGAAGACTGTGCCTTTTGTCCACAAAAAGGCAATAAAAAGAATAAGCGGCTCCAGGGCAGCTCATTTGAGGTAAAATAGGGTATTTTTTTAGTATTGGCTCACTGAAAAGTTGTGAGGCAAAAAAAATAAAGCCACCTTGGAACTTTTTAAAGGAGAAAGGTGGGGTAAAAATATTTAAGATTAAAAAATTTGAAGTTTATACTGATGGGGTGAAGCAGATTAACCCCAGTGGGGATGTTAAATTTTGGCCAAACAAGGCAAAGTATGGTGACAGCCTTGAAAGGTGAGCTCCTTTTTTGGAGCAAAATCTACTTCAGCGCCTCTTTGGAGGTTAATTCTCGAAGTCAGTCAAAGTGGGGAGGGAAAAAGTCGGTCTGAGGTACTTTGAAGCTCAATGGGACCCAAGTTATGAGGAAAAGCGAAGATTTGAGGTGGTCGCGCCCGGCGGGAATGCGGATTCCCTGAGGGGGAAGATCCTGAGGCGAATTTGGCGGACCTGGGAAACGTCTGAGGTAAAACTGGAAAGGGAAAAAAAAAAACGCGCGGGAAGGCGGCCAACGTGAGGAAGACGGGCGGCTTCTCTAGGGAGCCGTGAGGAGGGAGGAAAACCCGAGACGCGCCTGAGGGGGAATCCGGGAGACGTGGAAGGGTTCAGGAGAAGACTCCCCGCCGTTGCGGTTATTAATTTTATTTATTTTTTAGAAGAAACCGAAAAAAGGAAGCGAATTGGCAGATTATGAGGCGAAGCCGTCGAGCTGAAAAAGAATATTAATAAATAAAAGCGAAGTTGTGTCTCTGTGTGCGGGGGGGGGAAGAGGGTCGGGAACTGAGGCGATATCGAACTCTAAACCCTTCGAAGCGGAGCCGGGGGGGCGAAATCGGAGGCGACGGTCACGTGGTCAGGGCCGCGAAGGGGGGCGGAGCCTTCTTTCCCTTCCCGGCCTCAGCCGCCCTGCTTTTCCTCCCTCCCTCCCTCGGCGCGGATTGGCCGGCTGCGCCTGCCGAGGCGGCGGGCGGGCAGGGTTTCCGTTTCCGCCCGGTGCGTGAGCTGTGTGCGGGCAGTTGGGAGAGATAGGGCTCCGGAGGCGGCGGCCATGGCGCGGAGCTCGCTCTCCTCGCGCTTCCGGCGCCTCGACATCGACCAGTTCGACGAGAACCGCTTCGTGGAGGAGCCCGACGGGGCCGAGGCCGGGAGCGGGGCCGGCGGCGGGGCCGAGAGCGAGGGAGGAGGAGAAGGAGGAGGGCCCGGCCCGGAGGTGGAGGCGGCGCTGCGGCAATATCCTTTTCGGAGGAGCCCCCGAGACCGGGAGGGGGGAAGGAAGGGGGGGCCGGCTCTCTCTCGTCATCATCCTTATGCTATTCATTAAGGGGGGGAAGAGAAGAGGCAGGGGTCGGCGAAACCCCTCCCCAAACTCTTGGGGACCGGGTGGGTGGGTGGATGTCGGTAGGGCCCAATTGGGGGGGAGCCCCAAGCCTGGGGAGACCCCCCCGCCGTTAAGGCCCTTCGGAAACCCCCCAGACCCTCCTCCCTAAAGGCGGTTTCCTTGGGAGGAACCGTCTCATTCCACTCCTTCCCACCCCCAGGCCTTGCTTCGAGCCCCTCTCATCCCAGCCCGTCCATCTGAGCGGCTCATTTTCCTTCTCTAGTGCCTGCCATCATCCTCCCACCCTCCCCCCCCACACACACCTGTTCTTAGGATTTAGGAAAGGCTCCTTCTTTTAAATCTTGGGCCAGGCAACTGTCCTTAATGGGCAGCAGTGGTCTTCCCCTTTCCCATTATTCCTTTTTGGGAGGGGGGAATGGTTTTTCATCCCTTTTCGCTTTGGCTTGAAATTATTCCCCATCTTTTTTTGGGGGGGAGACTTACAACAAAATGGGAACCCCACCCGCTCTGCCTCGTCTACTCATGGACCTCCTGGCTCTTTTCAGGGTTGAGTCCTTGATGTCTTGCCCGCCTGCCATCTATCTTTTGTTTACGGGATGTTGGTGCAGCGCCTGGTGTGTGTGTGTGTGTGTGTTGGGGTGGAAGGGCCATAAAACGGAGGCACCTTCTATGGTGCAAAGGAGGCGATCTGTGGCTGCCGATTCCAGCAGTTTGGATGGCGTGCGTCACTCTTGGCTGGATCTGTGAAACATTTGGGGTGACCCGCTGTGCCAGGAGACGCCTCTCTGAATGGGCATGGGTGTGTGTGTGTGTTGCTTAACAGGCAGCAATGGGGAAGGGTTGGAAAGGCAACGCCACATTGCAGGGGAGATGGCCCCAGTGGTACAAGGTGAGCCCTTCCCCGAGGCCGGGCCGCGGTGTGTCAGCAGTGGTGAGCATGTGCCGTGGGGCCTGTGAGGCATGCATGCCATGCCTGTCATGTGTGGAATGGGGTTTGGCAAGAAAGGACTCGTCCTGCCGGATCCCAGAAGCCAAAGAAGCGACAAGCGCCGGGTGTGTCTTTGTTTGCTAGGGGTGCCAAAGGCTGCCTGGCCTCCGTCCGTCCCGTCCCCCCCCGCCAAAGGGGAGCCCGTCTCTTTCGGGATGTGCTGCAAAAAGAACAGCTCGGGCTGGGAAGCCAAGGGGTGGCTGAGAGAAAACACTCCCCCCCTCCAAAAAAAAGCATAGGTGTAGGATGGGAGCCACTAAGACAGCCTTTCCCAGAATGTACATTTGGTACAAGAAAGAAAAGTAAAACTGGTGGAAACTTTCAAGGCCACGTGGCTTGCTTCTCCACGAACCCCCCCCCCCAAGGCTTCTCCCTTTTCTTTCCCTATTACAGAGAGCAGACTCGGTGGGGCTCTGGCAGGCCGGAGCACCCTTGGAAAGGGTGACCTTGCCTTGAAGGCTTTCCCAGTAGTAGATTCATTCATAGGTGTTTTATGAAACGGGGACAAGCTAGAAGCGCTGCTTGGCTCTTAATAGCAGAAAAGCCAAAATTAGTGTTGATTTAAATTCGTAGCACTTGATGCTTTGAAAGCTGCATTTTAAAAAAATATATATATCTTGTTTATCCCAGGTATTGCACTTTTCCCTTCTGTCTTATCCTGTTATTTCTTTTTCTTCTGTGTTCTCATAATCTTTTAAACAGTGTCTCCTTGTCCGACTGTCATTTTGCTTCCTTTCTATTTTTAGAAAGGACAGATTGGGGTGTGTTTTTTTGTATCTAGTGGATATGAGGACATTTCCCAGAGGCTGCGTTCCTGACCTAGCCAGGGTGTGGAGGTGTTGTGTGTGTTTGTGTCAGAATCTGAAATGACAAAGTTACAAACAACTCTGCTTTGTAACATCCCAGAAAATATATAGTAGCAATTTGGGTGTGTGTGTGTTTGTCTGCATCCTCCTCCTTTAGGATTACCAGCACTCTGCTTTGTAACATCCCAGAAAATATACAGTAGCAATTTTTGGGGGTGTGTGTGTTTGTCTGCATCCTCCTCCTCCTCCTTTAGGATTACCAGTGCTGGGTAAACAGCTGAGACTTCTTAGCCATTAAAACTCTTCTCCTGCAATTTCCCAGCCTTTGGGATTTCTGCGAGGGTTGTACATCCCCAAGGCCCAGGCAGCGCTCTTTATGGGAGTTATAGACTTTTCTGCAGTATGCAGATCATGCAGTTAATGGGGTTTCTCGGCCGGCTGGTCCATGCCGGGGAAATCTGAGATGCAGAGTTCGCTGTCGTGTTGGCAGGAGAGGTTGCTTCCATTCCTTAAGAGAATGAAACCAGACAGCTTGGTCATCCTTCTTCCAAAATTTGCCTAGAAATGAAAATGCCGTTGTTGGCGAACGTGACAGACCGTTCAGGATTAGTGCTTTAGAAAGAGTACTCTTATTCCTTTATACTGTTTTGCCTTTATGCTGTTTTTCTCCGCAACTTCTAGTGTGGCTTGCAACGAACGAATGAAATCAGACTGATGTCAAGATACTCAAAATAACTCCGCCAGCCTCCTGGGGACATAACCCAGATCGCTGTTTTTATTAAGAGCCCTTCTGGAACAAAAAAACGCTTCTTGGGTTATGTCCTTTCGATTTGAATTCTGCAACTCATGAAGTGGGAGGCCCTTTCCCTCCCCTCCTTTCTCCTGTGCTTCTACTCCGCTGAAGATGTCTCTCTGAATCATTTATAGTCTTTTAAAAAATATATTGAATCATTGTGCCATTTCCTGTAGCCAAGAGTTTCTCTCCATCAGGTACAAGAGAAATATCTGCAAATTGCATGAATTCTTTGTTGAACAGGTTGTTGTTTTTAAACAAGCCTGGCCTTTATCTACACAGCGGTCACGATCTGAAGGTGTTCAGTTACGTAGCGGATACTTTGAAAAGCTCTGCGTTCAAGTCTGTCAAGCTGGCAAATCAGAATTCTGGCTGTTACTACCTTGCCCAAAATAATAGCTTTAATGGTGCCTTTTGCCAGTAGTGCCAGAGAACTGGGGGAGGGGGGTAGTCCTATGTCAGCTGAAATACTATAGGAAAGGAACAGAGGTCAGATCCACTTGAAGGCAACATGAACCCCACAAAACTATCCATACTGATTGCTTTCTGCTCTCTCATTGCATCTGCTTTGTAGCTGGAAACCAAAAATAAGATTAGCTGGGAAGGATGGCTTAGCCATCCTCTAATATTTGTAACTCCTGTGTTGTTGGGCAGGTATTGGTTTGCTTATGCCGTGGTCGGTATTTCCAAAGGATTCCGGCCAGGTTGGTTTGAGGAGGGTCCGTAGCCCACAATTCATAGGCAAAATACCCGTTAATCCTCGGGCATCCTCAGGTAGTGCCTGGAAAACTGAGGCCTGAAATCTACTAATTCAGCATTGATCATACCGGTCTGTCGATACCAGTGTTTTGACTATATGGCAGTTTTCTGTATTCCTCTGAGCATCTTGAGAAAAGGAAAGCCCTCGTGGCTGAGCCATATGTGGTTTGTTTGCTGGTCTGTAAATTCAAGGCCTTTCCGTACATGTAAGCTGGGGGGGGTCTATGTTCCTCCATTTCAGCTGGGGTGAGAAGGACTTGCACATGGAGATCTGTGGTGGGGGTCTAAGAAGGCCGTTGCAAATCTTGCTCTCATTTTAGCAAGACCCGCTGGCAGCCGCAAACGACAGGAGCAAACTGTTGGAGGTGGCTTTTTTAAAAAAAACGTTTTGGCTAGATGAAGCTTCACAGTATATGCGTGAAGATTTAATCACAGAAATGTAGAGCGGGAAGGGGACCCAAAGGGTCATCAGGTCTAGCCTCTCCTGCTAATGCAGGACACTCGCCGCTAAATCTGGCCCTAGCAGATGGCCCGTGTGGGCTGTCTGCTGCTTGTCAATTGTCAGTCAAACTGTTTTGTAAAATGTGGGCAGCTGTCGCCTGATTCCTTAAAAAAATTATATAAGCCAACTCTTGAAAAGCAGCTTGAGGGAAAAGATGGTTGTTGTGGGTTTTTCGGGCTCAAGAATGCATTGAGGGAAAAGGTTTGTGAACTCAGATTTGTTGTAATGTGGAGAGAGTCAGTTCAGAGATCTTTTGAGACCTGGACTCTTCCGTGAGACCTCCTGTCACTTCTGCTCGGGGTGACGAAGGGCTTCCTGTCAGCTTCAATGTGAAGAAGGGCTGTAAGTTAAGCGTGAAGGGAATTGACCTCGACAGGAGAGGGCTCTGTGCAGCTTGCAGGTGGGGCTGCAGAGCAAAGAGGACTGTAACCTATTCCTCCGCTGAACAATTTCAGGACCGTCGGAGATTTAATGCACGGAATAGTATTTAGTGCCGTGATGGATGACATCTATTTTTGGAAGACCTTTCAGGTTGAAAGGTTTTTCTCCAGCCGCTTGGTGAGGGATGCCGTTTGGCTTCTTAGCCAGCCTGAGATTTAACAGATTGTTTCTGTAACGGGGGTGATGTAGGAATCCAGGCTGACAGGAGCGAGGCAGTTGGCATGGCTGTTGGGGAGTGATGTATGCCGCTTGACAGCTGGTGACCCTGAAAGCCTTTGGACCCCCTTCGCAGTTTCCCAGTGGCAAAAATCAAAGGTCCCTCCGTCGGAGGTACAGCTCCTGCAGAGCGAATACCAAAGGAGCCCACCACAATTCGGGGAGATGGGTTGTGATTCTCAGCTCCACGGCTTTCATTCCTTGACTCGCCGTCTTGCACAGGGGATATGCTAAGAGCATTCCACGCCGCGTTGCAGAATTCCCTGGTTAATACCAAGAACCAAGCTGCGAAGGTAAGTGGAATCCAGAGGGTGCCCTCCTCCATCTGTGTCTTGACATTGTCAATGGGGACCTAGAAGGCCTCCAGTTACAAGGTGAGACCTTCTAGCACCCCGGGTTCTTGATGCGTAGGGCTGCTGTCCTCATTCCGGAATTGGTCTCCAGCCAAGGGCACCCTTTCTGTCAAAATAAGCCATGAGAATTTTCTTTTAGTCTAGCTATAATGGGACTACGAGTGCTGGCCTAAGATTTAGGAGATCTGGGCTCAGATCCCTACTTGGCTATAAAACTCCAGTCAAGGAGTCTTTCAGCGTGACCTACATCGCAAGGGTGTGTGGAGGGAAGGTGGGTTATAAATGCAACCTGTAGATACGTCGCAGTCGCTCCAATCCCCTTTTCAGGGTGCCTTTGAGTCCAGTCTTCCTCCATCCTTCAGGCAAACTGTACAAGAAAACCGTGTGAATCTAGAGTTATCTGCGGCCTCATTCTGATGTCTGTGTGCGTTTCTTCAGGAGCGGGCTCAGGAAATGGTGCTGAGGGTCCTGACCTCTTTCAAAGGGAGTGAGATCGAGCAAGCGGTGAACTCCTTAGACAGCAACGGTATTGACTTGTTAATGAAGTACATATATAAAGGATTTGAAAAGCCCACGGAAAATAGCAGTGCAATACTACTTCAGTGGCACGAAAAGGTAGGTGACTTGGCTTGTAGTCCCCAGTTCGGCAGGCTCCATGCCCATCTTTTGCAGCCCTTCAGATTGCATCCAAGAGCGCTCTTCGATTTTGGCCCGAGGTGTCCCACTTTACAAAAGAGCCCGTCGGATTTGTAGCTACACCCTGGTTTGGTGGGCCAAGCAGTAGAATACCGTTGTGCGATACGAACGATCCGTCTGTTGCACACGAACGCCCTTGCTTTAATGTACCTGGAGGCCAATTATCTGGCCTATCTTCCGCCTGGAAAGGGAAGTGGCTGTGATTTCTAGCATTGACAGTCTGCAGCTCCTTGGCCTGACATGGTGAAGGCCAGGTGGATCCGGTCAGAACATCTGTCCTCTGCCATTTGAGGCTGGAGAGGAGAGGCTTCAATGCCAGCATATTTCAAAGCCAATTCAACCTCTTTCCTTACAGAAAACCAGTGTGTCAGCTTAGCGGTGTCCCTTTCTTGCTCCATTTCTGTGTGTAGAAGGATGTTTGTGTGGAGCAGTGGTTCCCAACCTTGGTGAACCCAGGTGTCTTTCGACTGCGGTTCCCAGAAGCCTCCCCCCCACCAGCTGTACGGCCCCAGGGTTTCTGGGAGTTGCAGTCCAAGAACAACTGGGTGACCTAAGGTCGGGGCAAACATCCTTCTGCACACAGTTCGGAAACAGCTGGCCGCTGCCCCTGCGTTGCCTGCGAACCGTAGGTTTTGGAGGAAGAAAACGCAGCTTACAAAACCAGTGTCGGCTCCTGATAACAGGGCAGCATATAAGCAGCTGCCGGCCCTTGTTCTGTGAATGGCTCCTGGGGATGCAGCTTTCCCTGCAGAAGCCCCCGTGGAGTGAATGGATTGAGGATGTGTGTTCTCATGACAACACGAAACCCGTTTCTGCTTGCCGTCTTGTTTCCAGTGGAAACGGGAGCTGGCGGAGTGGGTGGGAAGGAGTGTGAAATCTGACAACCGATTTCCTACGTGGTGAAGAGAAAGAACTGCCCCACGTCATGTTCCCATAACTTCCCGCGCTCGGAGCAACGAGGCGTTTCCAAGAAAGGTTTCATGAGGTCCCTCGGTTGATCCTAGAGGCATCCTTGGCAGGACTCGGAGCAGAAAGAGAATGCGTTGTGGTTTTATGCAGCTGCCAAGCGCAAATACGTCTGTCAGAGGGCAGGAAGTGGCACCTGCCCCAGATGGGAGTTGAGGCGGCTGATCTTGCTTTCTTTAAAACAAAAACCAACGCCCAAACTTCTGACAAACACACCCAGTGACTCAGAGTGAAAGCGACGGGAGATCCAGGCCCCCCTCAGCTGCTCTGCTCGCTCGCTGCAAGCAGTAAAAGCTCGCCGGCTGCAGAGACAGTAGTAGTCACAGAAACATTTTAGCAGCTACTAGCTTGCCTTTTCTGAGCCGTTTGTGGTTGACTGAAGTTGTGTTCTCTGGAGCTGATTTCCTGGCACAGGGGCAGGACTGAAATACTGCCCTGGAAATTTCAGCATCCTCAGGTATATAGGTTGTGGGTTAATTTGCATTTAGCTGTCGCTTTACACCGTGAGATATAGATTCAGGCACTCAACCAGTTGCCCGAGACTCTTTCATATTACTGTGTTTGAAGAAGAGTAAGATACTTCTGTGTCTTTAAATACTTCAGGGGGTTTCCTTATCCAGAGACATCAGGCTAGGGAAGCGAAGCGGCCTCTAAGAACATCGCGTCCAGCCCCCCCCCCCAGTACAGGAATCCAGATCAAAGCACATCAGAGAGATGGCTGTCTAATTTCTTCTTGAATGCCTTCAACATTAAAGAGTGCTGACCTCCTCCCGAGGTCATGGGGTCCCACTGTCGTACTGCTCTAACAGTTAAGACGTTTTTCCCTGATATTCAGCCTTCCTATTGCTTGAGCCCATTATTTCATATCCTGAAAGCACATCAGAGAGATGGCTGTCTAATCTCTTCTTGAATGCCTTCAACGTTAAAGAGATGCTGTTCTCTCATCTCCTCAGTCTTAGAATAGGTTTGACTCCCCCACCAAAGCTTGCATAGCTGCGGCTGGATATACTGCTCTAACAGTTAAGACGTTTTTCCCTGATATTCAGCCTTCCTATTGCTTGAGCCCATTATTTATATCCTGCACTCTGGGATGATTGAGAACGCATCCTGCCCCTCCTCTGTAGGGACTACCTCTCAGGTATTTGAAGATGCTGTTCTCTCATCTCCTCAGTCTCAGAATAGGTTTGACTCCCTCACCAAAGCTTGCATAGCTGCGGCTGGATTGAACCTCCATCAACAGGCTGTAGGTCTCTGCTTCACAAGCTCTTCTTGCATCTCTGAGAAGTGGAGGGGGAGGAAAAGCTGGCAGAAGAATTTAGAGGAAATCCAGTTCACAAAGTAGAGTCTTAGTAGGAAGCCATCTGCCGGTTGGAGAATTTCGGGGCTCTCTCCTGCCTCTGGAAAATTCCAAAGGTTGACATGTGTCCTCTGAATTGCTTTTGGGATGCGTTTGTTTTAAAGATTCTTCTCTCGCTTACTGCGGATTGGTTTGAGGCTGCCTCTGGAGCGAGCAGGGGAGCAGAATGGCATTCGCCCGTGCAAGCAAGGGACGCAAAGAGCAGGCGGTGGTTAACCTATCAAGCTGGGGCCTCTCGAATCGTTCCTACAAAGCAAAGCCCGGCAGGACCGACTGAGCAGGGTGGGAGAGGTCCTTATCCGTGCTGCTTCCCAGCCACTAACTCCGATTTCCTTTCTTTTTTTCCCATCCTTCCAGGCGTTAGCAGTAGGTGGACTAGGATCCATAGTCAGAGTTCTTACTGCACGAAAAACTGTTTAAAAACAAACAAACCACAAAAATACAAAACCTGTTCACTTGAGCGGAGAGAGAGAGAGAGACGCACCGAGAACTCTTTTTGCAGCCAGGAGAAAGGAAACTGGCTACGACGACACTTTGGCCCATCGTGCTGGAAACCGCGATCTACTGACATTCGGCGTGTTGGGGAGAAGGCGGGGGGGGCAGAGAAGTCTCCTTCCTCTCTCTCGGCAAGCAGTCCTTTTAACCACAGAGGTGGGGGAAGGTTTTTATGTGTTCATGTTTTCTGATTATACAATTCAGGAGCTTGGGGAGGGGGGGAGAGAGACGCCATCCAACGTGTGCTGCAAAGGGACATGTCTGTCGGTGTGTGTGCGCGCGCACAGGAGTGTGGCTGTCTCTAGAACAGCTCCCGTGCCGGCCCGCTAGGTGTGTGTGTATGTTTGCGTGCGTGTGCAAGATTTTAATTTAAATTTAACAAATGTTTGTGTTAAGGGGAGGGTTAGGGGTGGTGATGTCAGAAGCAACACAGAGCCTCATCAGTCTGAGGGGGGTTGTTAAAATTTTTTTTTTCTTATGCAAGAGGGCTTTTTTGTACATAGTCGAGAATCGCTGGGCTCAGTCTGGAGTTGGTTTCGTGTAAAGTGCCTGCTGCTCTGTCAAAATAAAAAGCTCTTGGATGGTTAGAATAAACCAGCGACGGAATCTGAATGCCACGGGCGCGTGTCTCTCCTCTGTGTCCAGTCCACGGCGGTGCCTTCCCTGGTGAATTTGACCGGCGGGTAGTCCAGAAGCAAACGCCACTGAGCTTTCTGGGCGCGTTTCACACACGCTACGGATGTCGCTTCCTTAGCGGCTTTGCTTGCCTTTGTTCCGTATACCCACGCACATCTAAGAGCCCAGATTTTTCCATTATTGCACATGACAGCTCTTTTCCCCCTGCACAAAAGGAGCCCCCTCTCCCGGCAAGCGTCCAGCGTAACTTTCTCAGTCTAACTGGATAGGAAAGTCTTGCCGGTTAAATTTCTAACACACAGTATCAACTGGGAAAACAAGCATACCTTCTCTGAAGCACGACCAGGAAGGTAGTAGTAAGTCAGCCTCAAGTTTTAATCAAAAATTGTATTGCACCACAAATTAGGTTCCTTTACATAATTCAGTCCATATGTGTGCGGCCTATCCATAAAAGGTTTTTTTTCCTTATATATACATACTCCCCAGGTGTAGTGTTTCTTAATACAAAGTGCATCAGTTGCTACTGTTAATGAACATGTACATCTCGGTCTCATCCAGAGTGTCTCTCTGTAGCATCTTAAAATTCTCTCTCAAAGGTACATTTTGGGCAATGCCAGAAGTACCCGTTCTTAATCTCTATGCCAAGAAACAGCAAAGGCCCCCAGGATGATTTTTCTGTTCTTCGTAAGTGGTTGATTAAAAAAAAATACTGTTGCTTAGCAATATGCAGTCATACTATTTAGAACGACAGCCCTGCTATCTTGCACGCTTGGTGGTTTGTACAGTATGCGGTGCCTCCTCTAATTACCCTGCTTTATTTGAAAAAACAAAACTGAACTCTGTAACCAAGGGGATCCCCCCCCCAAAAAAAAAACCATTTTGGTTAAGAACTAGAAAAGGGGGGGGGGTAACCTGACTATAAATTGCAACCAGCCTCTGCATTTTCTCCTTCCGAAGGAGGTCAGCAAAGTTAGCCTTTCTTCTGTTAGGAGCAGCATCCCATCTTCTGCGGGTTGTGAATGAAAAAGGCTTTGCAGTATCTTGCAAAGAGGATGATGGTGCCACGTCAAGCGTGGTCCCCCTCCAAGCAGGTTCAGTCACATGTGAGCACAGAAGGAGGAGCCTTTTCCACAATACTGCAGGTTTGGTTTCTTCTTAATGCTAGGGTTTCCCTTCCCCTCGTTAAAAGGAGTGGCTGGCGGCTATTTTTTCCCCCAATACTACTACTACTACTACTACAGTACACCACATTTAATACATCCGTTTAAAAGGCAAAAGAGTATTGTCATAAAGACCGTTTTTAAAAATCATTTTTTTCTTTAAGAAAAATAAAAGTTGACCAGCTCTGTAGAAAGCGGCCCTCTCTGTGGCTGGGCAAGGGAGGGGGGGCAGGTCCACAGCTCGGCTGAACGCACCCACCGGTTGCCGCAGCCGCCCAGGGGTGGCGCAGGGCCCGCCTGAGAAGGCAGAAGGACCCTTCTGCTGCCGAGACTCGCAACCCCATCGCTCCCTGCCTCTGGAAACCCGTTTCTGCTGCAGGAGGAGACCCTTTTGGGTGGCCTGATCTTCCCTGAAAGGCTGCAGAGCAAAGGACACTTTTTTTAACCGTCATAGCGATCCACCCCCCTCACCCCCCCAAGTTCTTTACACAAATACTAGGCGAGAGCAATGAAGACACCTCAAATCAGTGGGTGCTGCATTGTTTTCATAAGAAAAAAAGAAGAAAAAGCTACTTGAGGCAGGGAGGTGGGGCGTCCTCGGGTCCATTCATGACCAGGCGGTCCTCGGATTTGAGATGGAGGGTCGAACGCTACCCCTGGGAGGCGGTTTTGATCCAAACCATGACATCTAGCAATGGGGGGAAAGAAAGCATAGCACAAATCAGGTGTGCAGCGGGAGAACCTTTCAGTGAAGGCAGTGTGGTGTGTTTTTAAAGCGTCGGCCCCTGAAGCTGCGTCTGTTTGCATCCTGGACACCCCACGCGCCTCTGAAGGGCCAAGAGTTGGCAAATTCACGGGCGCGGCAGCTTCAGTAACCGGACCGGGTCACTCCTCCGCAGAGCAAGCAATTCCCAAGTGTATTGGGCATGTGCTTTAACTTCATCCAAAAACTAAAACGGCTGCACAGCCGATAGCCTAGTCCACGGGCTTGCAGAGAAACGTGCAAAAGAGCGCCTCTCTGGAGGAGCTGTGGCCAGGACGCCGCAGCAAGACCCCGGTCAGTCAGTCGGTCGGTTTCTTAGCGTTGCATCGCAAAGACCGCCAGACGCTGCAGCCCAGAACCAAGAGAGCCGCCCGCGCGAACGGATCGCAGGCTCCCACAAAGCCTTACCTTGTACTCCAAGGTCTCTTTGAGCATGTTCTCTTCCTCCTTAGAGAAGTTGAGCAACACAGACACGGCTTTGATCAAATGGAACGCCTGAAACACAACGGGCGCCAAGTCACCAGGGGGGGCGGGCGTATGCCCACCCCCAGCAGAAACGTTCCCCAAGGTGGGGCTACGGAGCAGAACTCCTTCGCACGAAAGGCAGCGGAGCCGATTTCTAGTCTGTTACGTCTCTCCGTTCCGGAGACCCTGACCTTTCCATGGTCAAGTCTGCACACACTTTTCAACGTTGCAGATACTCAGTGTGACACAGCCAACAGAGGAGGACTCAGGAGAGCCGAGTTCAAATCCTCACTTGGCCATGGAAACTGAAGGCACTAGTAAAATCACTCCATAAATATCTCTTCTTGAAAGTCCTATTAAGAACTGTAACTGTGTGCTGTCAAAGTCACTTCCAACTTAGGGTGACCCTTTCCATTCCCTTATTTTCTGAGAACCCCCCGGGACCGTGCGGCTTGCCCAAGGCCACACAGGCTGGCTCCTCTGCGGAGGGGACAGCAGGGGAAAACTTGGCCATGGAAACTGAAGGCACTAGTAAAATCACTCCATAAATATCTCTTCTTGAAAGTCCTATTAAGAACTGTAACTGTGTGCTGTCAAAGTCACTTCCAACTTAGGGTGACCCTTTCCATTCCCTTATTTTCTGAGAACCCCCCGGGACCGTGCGGCTTGCCCAAGGCCACACAGGCTGGCTCCTCTGCGGAGGGTACAGCAGGGGAACTGAACTCCCAGCCTCCGGCTCCACCGCCAGAGAGCGAAACCACTTAGTCCGCCACCCAGCTGAAAGTCCAACTTGAAAGCACATTAATAACCCCCAGGGTTGGGAGTTCAATTTAGACTTTCTTACCCAGAGCAAGCTAGACAGCCTTCTAGAAGGTGTATGGAATTCCAATGACAAGTTGATTCCAAGCCCCCAAGCAACAGGGTAAAAACACATAATCAGGAAACCCTCTGTAGGTCTCCCCCCCCCACCCCCTTTGTTTCTTTACCTCGGATTCCCGGCAGGACATAAATTTTAGCACCACATGCTTAAGGTACTCGAAGTTTATCTCTCGGGAGTCATTCAGGTCGGAGTTGTTGGTAACAGTCAAAGTAGCACTGGGGACTTCAGGAACTTCGCCATCGGGTCGGATTTTCTAAAATAAAGGGGAAACAGAGGGTTAATTTAAAAAGCAAAACATAACCATCCCATGCAAGCTAGAGTGTAGACCCACATCTCATCAGCCACGCAGACACCAGGCCACGTTCCCCAACCTGTCCTGGCCGCATGCTCTCTGCAAAAACCCTAGCTGCCTTTTGGGTGGGTTTTTCTTGCATTAAAAAGTCTATGCAAGGCACATGAAAAAGATGGATCTAGCCACCGGCTTAAATGGTGCAGAGGGAACCAATGAGAATATAATCAAGCTGGCTTATAGGCAAAGGACTGTTGGCTAAACATCGCCTTTGCCCGCCAACTAAAACTATCCAGCGGTAAACATTTCCAGAGCCCGGGAGAAGACCCCAAAGGAAGGCCTTCTCTGGAGTTTCTCTGGCCAGATATGCTTGGGATGTTGGCGAAGACCACCCAGGAGGGCATCTCCTGAAAGACTTTAAACCTAAGCAGGTTCAACATTTCCTTTGAAAGTCAAGGGAAGGGAGCATTCTCAAGAAACGGGACTCCCCAGCTCTTACTCCCAAGTTGTCCACTGGACGCACGCCTCCCTTAGACTCGCAGAGACAAACACGCTGGGCTAGAGTGTGAAGGGGAACCTCTCTCGAGGGGTGAAAAAGCTCAACCAGGCCTGACTTCCAGTCTCTCCCGAGTATCCTTTGGCTGTCTATCTGACCTGCTTTGTTTTCCGCTGCCCCTCGGTCGAAAGCACATATTCGGATCGATAGAGAGCTAGGAAGACTTTGGGCTCAGACGGGACTCACCAGTTCCTTCTGCAAGGTCTTCTTCAGCTCCGCCATCCTCTGCTGCAGTTGCCTGATAACCTGCCCAGGGAGAAAAGCGGGGGGGGGGAGGGGGGAGAGAAGAACGTCGGATCACAGCAGACCGGACACGTTCCAACTCACTTTTCTACTGAATGTTCTTCCGTGTTATCATCATCCTCATCAAGCTGCAGAGCCCAAAGGGACCCCTTAGAGTGACCCTCAAGCCCAGTCCCTGTCAGGGAGCCCCAGTGGGGGATTCAAACTCCCAACCTCCGGCTCTGCCAGGGACCCCTTAGAGTGACCCTCAAGCCCAGCCCCTGTCAGGGAGCCCCAGTGGGGAATTCGAACTCATAACTTCCGGCTCTGCCGCCAGATGCCTTAAAACCACTAAACAACCCAGCTTGGTTCATTATTTTAGTGCCTTGAGAAACCATGATGTGGGTTGGGGAATTCTCCAAGTTGTTTTCTTTCTTTTAACACAGGGACAATTTTCTCATATTTTTTCAGTGGGGGTCTGCATAAAGCGGACTTGAGAATCAAAACAGGCCCTCTAGTTAAGATACCTGGATTTGCTTTTTCCCTTTTCCGGACACTCCCAAGTCTCCGAAGAAAGACCGCTTTAGAGATCCCGATAGACCCGACCGTTTGCGGTGTGGTCTTTCCAGTGCAGAAATGCCATTTTTTAACTCTTTTGACTGCAGGAAAGAGACCAGCTCTTGACTGTCCCCTGCGTGGCTTGCTCAAATATTTGTGGATTCTTTTAAGCCGCAATCCTGCTGAATCCTGACCGCCTGGGCTTGTTAAAAGCTAGGGCTCCTGGCATTGCTTACACGTGCCCTACTCCATTGTGCTAGCAGAAACTCTTTACGATTAAGAGTTTAAGAATAAAAAAAATTCCAATCTCCTCATCGTTATTATCATTATCTGGTGGCTTACATGAACAGAAATCGAGACACTACTCGCCCAAGGCATGTCAGAGGGAAAAACAAGAGCAAAAACTAAATTACAATCCCTTCTAAAGATATTCCTGAGGGAAGAAAAAGGCAAGGGATCTACAGTTCCCCTGTGGCAAATTGTCCTGCTTTATTAGGAGCAAAACAAAGGCTCAGAGACGCTCCAGAGGAAAAGGATAGAAGGCAGATCCCACACCTTGTTTTTCTCCGCAAGCTGCTGCTCCAGGTCCCTGTTCTCCTTCCGGAGCTGGACGACGTCCGCGGCCGTCACGTCCCCGTTTGGCTCCCCTCCTCCATCTTCTCCATCTTCTGCAGCGGTGGAGGCCAGTTCCAGCAAAGCAACCTAGCAGAAGGCAAGGAGGAGCAGAGTTTAGCAGGCTTCGTGCAAGCCGAGGGCGGCCACGTCTGTGGGCTTGGAATGGTTCAAGGCAGGGGGTGGGTTTCTCCTTGGCAGGGTGAGGGGGGAAGCAAAGCCCAGAAGGGGAAAGATCCTGCTTCAGAATTCGCCAGTCCTCTGGGTCTTGAGCAGACGTTGTTCTCCACCCGAGATTCTTGAAGGGACACAGGAGAAATGTCCGGGCATCAAGAGGCCCTCCAGAAGAGAAGCTTCCCTTCTCGGTCTGGGCAGCCGAGGCGGGGCTCTCCCCACCCCGGGGTTAAAGGTCTGGCTGCTCACTTGCTTCTCGCTGGCTCCCAAGCGCTCCTGCGCCTCCTGCAGCTGCGCCTGCAACGTGCGCCTCTGCTCCTCGGCCGCAGCTTCCCTCTCGGCGGCCTGGCGCTGGCAGAGGTCGAGGCTGGACTGCAGCTGGTGCCTCTGCAGCAAAAGGGCATCGTGGCCTGGGAACAAAGGAAAAGAGCAGGTTGGGGGGGGAGCGGCTTCCGGGTGCCACCAAGGGGTGGGTTCTGTTCATGCTTTTCTGGGCGCCATCCTTTTATCCAAGGGGTTCAGGGGGGGAGCGGCTTCCAGGTGCTTTTCTGGGCACCATCCTCTTATCCAAGGGGTTCAGAACGATTCTCGAAACTCCTTGTTTCACTACTACCCCAAGAGGCAGTCAAGGCAGAGAGGGGAGCAACTGGACCGAAAGGAGAGCCCCAGCTCTCCGGCTCTTAGTCCACCACTTTAACCGCTACTCCATGCGAGCTCTCAAAAAGTTCCACTGAGTTTTGAAAATTCCATTTCTATGCATCTTAGAACATCATAAATGGTTCTCCCTTGCTGCGCCTCGTAGCAAAGTCGGGCCGAGAAACGACGTCTCGTTTGGAATCACCGTAATGAGTTTCACCACCGAAGGGTTTCCGGCCTGACCTTCCCACTGCGACACAAGAGCAGGGGTCCTACTTTGAGAGCAGACGAGATTCCAAGGCCTCACAGGGGCATCGGAGAATACGACCTCCCAATTAGTAACTGGCCCTTTGCCAGACCCGCTGGAACCAAGCAAGGGAGAGAAGGCACCTAAGGGGAGTACCTCAGATCATCTTATTTCAGCATCAGGTGCTTTGAAAGGAAAACTGGATAAAAATATTTTAAATACACCCATAAATGAACCGTAAACCCCTTCTGAAGAAACCTCAGGAGTTCATTCCTACTGGGGCTAAGGCCAATTCACGGGCTCTCACCTTGCCTCATGTGCGTCAGCTCTTCCTCCTCTTTCAGAAGTGAGTCCATTTTCTCTGCAATAAGCCGGTCTTTCTCCTTTATCAGTGAGGTCAGATCTGCAACCTAGCCACCAGAAAACGTGGTCACAATGGCTGAAAGAAAGCCGTTTACTTCCCAGCTGTTTCCGACAGGGCAAGATGAATTCTTTCTAAGGCTTAAAACCTGCCCCAAACCTCAGTCAGGACCAGGAAGATGCCGGAGAGCTGTGGCGAGCCCCGAGCCCGTTTCTGCAGGGCCTCGAGGGGACCAGAAATCCCCCCTTTTCCCTATGAAAATGTGCCCCACCTGTTGCTGCAACTCTTCCCGTTGCTTCCGCATCTCTTCCAGAGTTTCCGCCCTTTCTGCGGCGCTGCTCAAGTCTGCCTGCCATGCAGGAGGAAGCCTGGTGTTAAGAGAGCTGCGAGTTCGAAATTCCCCTCTCCTTTCCCCAGCTTTAGGGTCAGCTTGATCTCAAGGGGGTACCACCTTTGGGGGCCCGAAACATAGCCATCCTTATAGCCAACCCAGAGAACTGCTCTCCCCTTTCCCCCACGCCATCACCCCAAACACCTTCTTAATGACAGGAACAAGCGGGGCAACAGAAGAAGAGGACAACAGATTAGGGGCGATACACAGGGCTGTCTCTTCTGGGCCCCCTGGAGGTCATGGTTTGGCCCCAGGGCGAGATCTCCTTTCCAGCAGAGAAAGAGATGCAGGGGGCCTTTCCAGATGCTGACTCGTGAGCGGAAACATGCAGGACCCACAGCAAAAGGTCACTGTGGGAAATGCAGAGGGTTCGAAAAGGCCAAAGGCAGTCTCATGAAGATTTCCCCGTCCTGTCTTTGTACCTTTAGTCTTTCCATCTCCGTTTCTTGGTTCTTTAACGAGCTTCCCAAAATTATGCATCTCTCTCTCAGTTCTTCATTTTCCTTTTCGAGTTGGCTCTAAAGGAAGACATGGAAGCACAAGATGGGTGGGTCGGTAAAGTGCAAGGATCATCGTGCCTGGGCTATAGTGGGAGGTGGCTTCCTTTTAGACATGTACGACTCTCTTTTCTCTCCTCCCCCCCGCCCCCGTGTGGTCCACGAGCTGGATTCTCTACCAAGGCCGCCTCTGAAGCCCACCAATTCTAGACCAACCTCTTGTCCCAGCACCGAGGCTGAAAAACTAAGTGTCAAGTCCCTTGCTTTCTTTCCCCTACCTAGGTGGAATGTTCTTGAACGCTCCGTGACACCGCTACGGTGCAGGTCACGGGAGCGGCTTCATGTAGGCGATTACCAGCCATTCTTTAACCATTTCCCTAAGTAAGGCTACTCTGACAAAGCAAAAAGGCCTTTTATTTCAAATCAGGTACGTTCTTGTGCCAAATGACACAGGAACCAGGGAAGGAAAGCCAGGGTTTTTAAAATGCTTTGGGAGCACAGAGATAATCCAGGATATAAGTCAGTGAGGTAGAATTCAACTTACTGAGCAACCTTTGTTTAAACAGCAAGTTTCTAGTCCTCAGGGCTCCAAAGCAAAGCTTGAAAGTGCGTTGGCAGTACTGGCTAAAAGCAAAGAAGCCAGGGAGGTGGGTCTCTAAGGAGTGGGTTCGGTACTCCCTCCCTCCCCTACAACTAGCCAACATCACAGACGCAACAGCCAAGCCCACTTAAGGCACATAGCTCACGTAGTGATCGCAATTCCAACCGAGAAGGTCCATGTTCTCGTGTTTTGAGCCTGGAAAGCTGCTGCGGCCTTCCTCAGAATAAGCGAGGGACACTCACCGCCGCTGTCCTTTCGGACTCCCGCGCAGCCTCAAGTGCCACGATCTGCTCTTCCAGCCTCCCGACCTGTTCGGCGTGTCGATGCTCCGCAGCCGAGAGGCCTTCCCGCCACCCGATTCTCTCCAGCTCCAGGTCTGTTTGCTGACAGGAAGAGAAAGGACAGGAACAAAGCAGAGCCCTTTGCTGACACTCCCTTACGAGCGCGGAGGGTGTGTGTGTGCGTGCAAGTAAAGGGTGAGCTACTTCGGGATTTAAAAAAACTGATATATTTTATTCTCGCCTTTCATCGCAAAAGGTTCTTCCAAAACCAACAAGGGTGCAAGAAGAAAGGAAAGCGTCAAGAAAACACCTTTTTTTGGACGACAAGTTCCAGAATGCCGTAGACAGAATGAGCCATTGCAATGGGGCATTCTGGGAGTTGTAGGCCAAAAATATTGATTTTTCCCATATTGGGAGGAAAACTCCTCACTAAAGCTGAGCGCTGGGCTTGATACGTAATGTCCCCCAGTGTCCCACTTGTCTTCGATGACTCCGTGACCCACCCTGAAATCTTGCAATACAGGGCAGACAACAAATGTTACCCAGGGTGGTGCAGCGGACAGAGTGACGGGCTAGGAATCAGGAGGCCTGAGTTCAAATTCCTGCTCAGCCATGGAAACTCAGTGGGTCAGTGGAACGGGTAAAAGCCACTCCTTAAATATACCTCGAAACCCCTATGAGGGTCGTCATGAAGTCAGATCCCACTTGATGACACAGAACAACAATATTAATGTTCCGAACAAAGAAACAGACGGACTCACCAGCTTCTGCATCTGCCGATCTCTCCCTTCGACGTCTTCCTTGCTTTTTGCTGCCACCTCTTCAGCAAGCCGGAGGGCTTGTTCAAGATCCTTCTGCTACAGAACGAGAGAATCCGTCTCTCCTGTTTCCCGGCCTGGTGGCCTCCACATTTGTCCCGTCTCCCCCTCCTCACCGCACAGGAAAAGGGAAAGAGGGGGGGAAAAAAACTGCCACAGCTCAACGTTCCAGTTACCTGCCGCGTACTGCTTTCCCGGAGACCGCGCACAAGCTCCTCTTGCTCGCTCAGGCGCGCCTGTCCTTCGGCCAACTCGCCGTTCAGTTTGTCGATCTAGGATGCAACACACACCACCTCTGACTCTTGAGCTGAAACGCACAACCAGGAGAATCACCTGGTGGCACTACTTTCAGCAGCTGGACCCGCTTTGGGCAGGATTCTGGGGTCCGAACGGCCTTCGCTGCTCCCCCACCTGCCTCCGGACGGGGCTTTTCTCCCTGTGATTTTTATATGATGGAGGGGAGGGGCAGAGCGGCGTGGGAGGTGCTCCCGCATGGGTTCTCCCCACTCTGCAGTCCGAAGCGGGAAAACCCCACAAGCTATGCGCTGGGACTAGGCACGAACCGATTCAGGTCTTGGTGAAAGGATCATTTTCTCTCTCTCTCTTATACACCCAGAGGTCCGTGCATCTCTCCTTAGAATCAGGAGCCTTGATTGGGACCCCCGATTTCACAGTTCCGAAGCGAAAGGCACTTCTGATCAAAAAGACATTTCTGTACCGAAAGCTTTCTCTTTTAACGTCAAATATCTAAGGTGGGTTACAGCTACTCAGAAGTCCGGAAAAGGCACTGTACTTGTGCAACGGAACCTCGGGGCTACATCATACATTCCTGGGGTGTGTGTGTGTGTGGAGAGACTTTGCACTCAATTCCCTCCCTTGCTGATGGGAATTCCCCAGAAAACAGGGATACACAGCGTTCCACCCAGCATACCTGGCTCTCCAGAAGGCCCACACTCTCTGTGTGGCTTGCGCGTGCTGCCGACAGCTGCTGCCTGGCATCCTCCAACCTCTGTTCCAGGGCGCTTTTCTGCAGGAGTTAGAAGTAGTAGCTGCCATTTCTGGTTTCTCCTGCTGCTGTTGCTACCATTGTCATTATTACTAACACCTCTAATTTACATGCCACTCAGTGCTCCTCAACGCAGCCCAATCAACCGAACATCCCTACCAAGAGTGCCCCCCCCCACACATCCCAAGATACAGGGCAATTAATACCTTCATGCTAATACAATCGTGTCAACACCCATTACGAAATAAGGAACTTTTAAAAAACTATCTTGGGGAAATAGTAATTTCTTACAGGTGCATCTTATTCAAGTCCCTCGACCAAAATGAGTCATCTCACTGAAAAAAAAATCAGCTGAAAGAGAGCCCAGTCTTATATTTTTTTCCCCCCAAACCTGCAGCTTGTCCAGAGTGTTAAGCTCAAGTTCTGATCCCTGGCCACGCGACTCCTCATTTTGCCTGCCACGGGCTAAAGCAGGTCTCCCCCGATCCCAGAAAAATTCCTTCAACAGACAGCACCCCATTCGGCCCTAGAGAGTGGGGCTGCAGTCCATGGAGGCGTAGGTCTCAAAAACTCTGGCGATTACGTCTTCTGCATGCCACAAGCCTCTTGCTTGCTTTTTGTGGATGGAGAAATATTAGAGCACCGAGGACAGACTCTCCACAGCCTTGGAAGAGCCTTGGCAGGGGGGCTGGAGAAGCAAAGGAAGCGATGCCCCCCTCCCTCCCGGTGCGCAGCACTTCGCCCCCCAGGCTCACCTCCCGGAGGAGCTCCCGAATGTGCTCGTCGCCGGACAGATTGCCTTCTAGCCTCTTCTCCAGGGAGGCCACTTTGTCTTGCAAAAGCTCCACAAGCCGGCTTTTCTCCTCCAGTTCGATCCTCATCTGTCGGAAGACACAGGGTCACAGGCTGGACAGCGGGTGGCTGGGGGACGCTCTCTTTCCGTGCACACATTTTCCCCCCCAACCCCAAATAGGACACTAGCTCAGCTCTGTGGGCCTGAGAAGTGGTGGCATGACTCCCCTCTCTCTTCAGCCAGGGGTGAGAGTTACAGCTTTCGAAAGCTGCGATTTTTTCCCCCCACCGATGTTTACTCCCTCTCCAAATATGGCACTTGCCGTTCATTGTTTCAAAAAATTTCTGGAGTGACAGCACTAAACCACAGGCAAGCAAAATCAGTCCCATCTGAAGAGCCCAAGAATCTTCCAGGATAATGTTGCAGGAAGGCCACCGGCCTTTAAACACGCACTGCACTCATGAACCCAACTAATAATAATCTTAATCATCATCCTCCTCTTGGAACAGCAGTGCTGGAAATGAACCCAACTAATAATAATCTTAATCATCCTCCTCCTCTTGGAACAGCAGAGCTGGAAGGGACCCTCTGGGGTCCTGTTCAGGAGGCATTGTGGTAACTTGAACTCCCAACGTCTGGTTCCGCAGCCAGAGGCCTATGTAAGCCCCTGAACTACCTGTATTCCTGCAATATCCTCTTCATTTCTGTGCGTTTCAGCTTTTCTGGTCTCCTGATATATTTGCGGCACGCCCCCAGACAAATCCTGGAAGGGCCTGTCCCCCTTTGCCATTTCAAACGGCCACACACAGGAAAGCACGGGACATACCTTTTGCTTGTGCTGTTCATATTCCGCTTTCAGCGACTCGTGGTCCCCTTGCAGCGTCTCCAGTCTCCTCCCGCAATCAGAGGCAGTGACCAGCGACTCGTGGTCCCCTTGCAGCGTCTCGAGTCTCCTCCCGCAATCAGAGGCGGTGACTTGTGCCTGAAAATTGGGGAGGGGGGGAAGAGAGAGAGAAACAGCTTGGACCAACACGCTCAGCATCCCCGACCCCCTGCCTATGGCTGACCAGGGCTGACCGGAGTTGCCACCGAACTGCCAAGGGACGGCCACGGCTTCCTCCCCTCCCAGCTTAGAATACTCAGCTGCTCTCTGCTTACATGTTGGAGATCTACTGACAATTGTTGAATATAGTTTTGCAGTTCCTCAGCTCGCAGCTCCAGGGAGGTGATCTTGTGTTCCGCACTCTCCCCTGCTTCTAGGAGCTCGTCCCTGTGTGCAGAGAAGAAGCCAGTTTACAGGCCACACGCACACACATGAAACCACACGTGGCGGAATTAGCTGGCTGGCCTCTTCACAAGCCCTTCCAGAAGCCTTCCCAATTGAGAGGCAAAGCACCCTCCCCTACTCAAGCTGCCTGCGTCAATCACTACATAATAGGGCATATGTGGGTTTTGGGGAATGGGAGGGACCCAGATTCTCACTCTTCCCAGATTGCTTTCTGTGAGGTAAGGGTTTTGCTCAGGATGATGAACTAGGCAGCCTCCAGAGAGTGACAGACTCTGATCCTGGACAGGCTGTGAGGTAAGGGTTTTGCTCAGGATGATAAAACAGGCAGGCTCCAGAGGGCGACACATCAGCTGATCCTGGACGGAGGCCGTCACAGATGGATCAATACACACAAATGTAGAGGGACTGGCTGGCTTGACCTCCACAGCACTGAGACCCACACCGGCCCACAGCTGATGCAGAACTGAATGGGAAAGGTTCTTCGGCTCCACCCGAATTGCACGGCCCCCTTCCCTCCCCAGGATTTAGACGCAACAAGCCCGCGTCAGCAGCGCAACCTTCCCCCTCCCCACCTCTCAGCTCGCAGGTCTGCGTGCTGCCGAATGAGTTCTTGCAGCTCCCCGGACAAGCGGGAGGACGCATCCTGGGAGGCCTGCAGCGCTTCCCGGGCACGGGCCAGCTCTTCGGCGGAGGACGCCAGTTCCTGCTGCACCCGGGCCAAGGATTCCTCCTTCTTCAAAAGCTGGGTATTGAAAAAAAAAAGAAAAGAAAAAGAAACCACCATTTCACATCCAAGAGAGCCCAAGTCTGATGATTCAGGGACAGGGTGGGGAGGCAATTCCATCCAGGTCCACCTTCCCGCCATGGATGGCAGCGGAAGCTAGGCATTATCTCACAATGACTGGACAGCGTAGAGTCATGGGATAGAGCAGCCTCGCCAAAGCTAAGCAACTCTTGGATTGGCCCCGTACCAGGAAGCGAAAGGCCGGCGCCCAGATCTGAAGCAGACGTCCAGCGCAAGGAAGGTTCTCTGGTTCAGCCCATCCGGGCAGGCAAGAGAAGCACATCTGCCTAACCCCTGAGCGCTGTCACCTTGCCAGCCAAGGCCACAGGTGGGGAACCTCCAGCCCTGGGCCAAAAGAATGCCCTTCTCGCCCCCCCCCCAAGGGTGAAGGCTGTTTCCAGAAAGCCATATCGCCCCCTCCTTTTTTACACCCTAATACTATCCGATGACAGCTTCCCAAAAGTTGCAAAGGGTTTTAAATCAGGTAGTTTAGTGGTTTGGGTCCGTTCCTTTCTCCTTTGACCTCACTTCTGGCTAGAATGTATTCTCCACTCCCAGGACATATTTGACATGGACTTCACTGCTTGGATATTGTACTTTACGGCAGCGCTAGACCCCTCACTCTCTCTACCACAGGATGGTCTGGGCTCCTACGTTCTCCCCTTGACTTCCGTGAGAGTAGAAAGGCAGAATATGAAAACCAGCCTATCCGTGAAAAGGAGGGATTAAAGCAGACTTCTACAGCACAAAGGCTGGAGGCCGGGGGGGGGGAGAGAGAGAGCAGCGGCTGGCAATCTCTGGGGGGACCTGGTGGTCTAAGGGCCCCTAGATCCCGCCCCCTCTTGGAAGGCCTGGAGACCTGATCCTGCCCCCAACGGGACAGACTCTAGGAAACCTCACCATGTGCTTGACTTTAGCCAACTCCTGCTGCTGAAAGCCTTCCAGCTCATCCAGGTCATCCCTCTTCTGGAAAAGGTGCAAACTCTGCTCGGCCCTCTCCTGCAACTGGGCCGAAAGCAGCTTTCTCTCCTGCGGGGAGCACCCGAGGGCAGAAACATAGGAAAGAAGATTTAGGGAACTTCCCGACTCCAGCCCAAACGTCAGGCAGGTTTGCCAGGGATCTGAACGGCTGCAGTCCAGGTGGGAACCGAAATGGGGGGGGTTTGGGCCACCCCTTGCCGTTCTGACCCACAAACGAGCCACCCTAAGCCGGCCCACTTGCCTTTTCAAGATGAAAGAGCTTCTCCTTCCATTCCTGAAAAAGGAGAAAAGGACACGTGAACATCGGGGCACCAACACCGATCGACAGGGTCGGGGCCACAGAGCAGCAGAGCCAGTAAAAAGCTCATGGCTCAGCCAAAGAAACAGCAAGAGTGACATCGCTGTTGTGACATCACCAAGAGGCACCCTTTCTTTCTTAAAGGGACCCCTCACTACCAGAACACTCCCATCCGATCTGGGATGATCAAACAAGGCTGTCTTTCGGAGACCGCCGACTCCTCACCATGCTTAAAAGAGGTTTGTCCCAGGCCGCCTTAGCACGGAGTCAAAAGGAGCTGGCCACTCCCTTTTGACCCATAGGCCATCAGAAGATGCAGTTCAAGCGGAAGCAAAGACACGGGCTACTAAAAGCCTCCAATCTGGTTTCGGAAGGTGCTGACGACGAACACTAATTCGCAGGACGTGACGGGAGTGGACGGCCATGTCCTGCCACCGTCTTGACACGCAACCCAGCTGTTGCCGTCAGTTTTTTTTAAAAATGCTTTTTTTAAAATGGGAAGTACCACTGTGTCCAGGAAACCTCTAGGAGTTTTCTGCATGCCTACAGGGTGAAGATTCTCTCTCTCTCTCTCTCTCTCTCTCTCTGTGTGTGTACCTGGTCCTTCTTTTCCAGCGCCAAGGTCATCTCTTCAGCCATCTTAGCCGTGCTGGCCTGGTGAGCCTCGTTCTGCTCCTGGAGTTTCTTCACAAAGGCTGCGGATGACAACACCATGCCCATTCCTGAATAAGCCCACATTGCCTGGCCTCCTGAAGCACAGCAGAGTCAGAGGCGCTAGATATAGTCTGATCCTCTGCCACCCCTGATCTCCCAAATTTCAGATGTATACGATAGGCAACCACAGAAACCTTTATGAGCCGCAGGTATGGCTTTCTCATACTTCTCCGTGGGGAAAAAAAAGGGAGAATCTACAATCCTCAGTCACAGACTGAACTTTAAAGCTATATATATCTATATACATAGAAACACACACTGAACTTTAAAGCCATATATATGTATTTAAAAAAACCAAGACAGAAGGCAACCTTTTAGCACTGCCAGCTTTCTCACTCCTCTCTCTAGACTCTGGCCAAATTTTAACAACAATCAGACAAAAGCAGTGCTGTGATTTGACATCTTTAACTCTTGAAATAAAAAAAAATTGGCGTGAATCAGCCCCGTCTGTTCCCAAGACTGACATTTGCTTGACTGTGATTTGACATCTTTAACTCTTGAAATTAAAAAAAATTGGCGTGAATCAGCCCTGTCTGTTCCCAAGACTGACATTTTCTTGGCCTTTCTCCCCCTCTCTCTCTCTCTCTTTGCGGGCACAGCAGCAAACAAGGGAATGCCACATGCCCACCTTTCCACCAAGAGGCAGAAAGAAAACCTTGGATTGGCCATGGACAAGACCAATGTAAGACACCTGCTGCCTTTGCAAGATTTTTATTCCTTACAAGAGGACCCACTTCTCTGTGGGATCAGAATCCACTGAGCCACTTACCTACGGTCTGAAAATATTAAAAAAACGCATACAGATAGGGGGGATCCTACTGTATTAGTAATATGTGTTGCACAAGGGGACATGAAAGAGCATATCCCAAGTCCCAGTTTGATACTCTTAACTACTACACCACACTGCCTCGCTGTGATTACTTGGATCCTGCTGTGCTTCAGCTCAAACCCCACCCCACCCCACCCCGGCCAGTCCCCATAGCTCTGGCCTGGAAAATGTAGCTTTTATTTCTCCTCTCCGTACTGCAGCCACAGAGAGAGAGAGAGAGAGAGATTCTAACCACTGCTCTTTCCAAGTCTTTCAACCTTGTGCAAAAAAGGAAAGAAAAGACAAATACGTACAATCCTGATGCGTCTCTAATGCATGCTCAAGCTTCTCCTTAATCTTCTGCAAGTTTCGGACCTGCTCAGCGTAATCTTGGGTGGGGGGGGGGAGGGGAGAAGGAGGAGATGACACCACACAGAATGAACAAGACAGTAGGAATAAGCAGGGAGATGAGGGGGTGGGGTGGGGAGATAACGAAAAATAAATGGTGAGAGGAGGTGGACAATGACTTTCTTCCTTTGAAAATCATTTATGTCAGGGGCTCGGGGGCTAGGGACACGAAACACGGCTACTGCACATCAGAAATGAAGGCAGAGGGAGGGACAGACGAAAGGAAGCGGCTCTAGGGTTGCCTGCGACAAAGAATCACACGTACTACTCTGGCACTAAAACAAGGGGGGGGGTTCTGACCCAGCCGCCAAGAAGCCTCCCGTTGTATCAAATGTTCCATTGTTTTCAAGCAGACGCCTCTCTACTGCAGGGCCTTAGAAGTCTATTGAGACCACCAGGTAAAAGGGTGGGGGTTTTCTGCCGGGGGGAGGGGGCGCCAAATCTTTCCAACAGTTCTGGAGTCATTGACAGGGGACAGTTTTTCACCTGGGGAATCTATCATGGCTGCACAGAGCCCAGTTTATTTATTCATTTATTTTTAAAGGCATTTGCAATTTCAGCAATTATACTTTCACTCCTGGGTGGAATTGCTATTATTTGTGGGGATCTGCACAGTGTTTGATGTCAAAAAATGCTTCTCTTGGAGGCTTTCAGGAGCAGAAAACGACCCCTCTTTTTTTTTTTAAGCTGGGACCAAGGATCACTTCAGGGATGAGGCAGAAGGGGCCTCCAAAAAACCCACAGATCAGGAGAGCAGTGGTCCTGTTTCCATTGGCAAAGAAGTTCAGAATACTGAGAGACTATCGACTGTCCAGTGGTGACAGGGCAGGCTTGGTTTGCAGTCAGAAATAGTTAGCTTCTGAAATGTGCGAGGCCACAACAAAAAAAAGAGAGAGAGAGAGGGAAACGTACCAGACAGCTTGACTTCCAGCTTCCGTATTTGCTCGTTCCTTCGGAGCAGCTGAGACGAAAGGTCTTCTCTGGAGCTGCTTCCATCCGAGGGCTTGGAAAGAGACCCACAGGAAGACCATTAAGATTTGGGAAAAATCAGGAACTAAGACCTATTAACCACATTTACAAGTTACAGTAGGACCACCACCCCCTTATCTGTGGGCGCAGTATCGGATGATTTGCTTAGCCACAGTCCGAAAATATTTAAAATATTAAAAGAAAAATCCTAGAAATATATATTTCTAACGATGAAGTTACCAGAAATGGCCACTAAAGAGAGCCAGAGACCCTGTTACGTGTAGCATTCGTTATCCAAATAACATTCACAATAATCCATGTTTTTCAGCATGGGGGGGAGAGAGACCTGGGACTAATCCCCTGTGGATATGAGGGTGGGGGTCCGACTGCATTGTTGTATTTTTTTCTAAGGACTCTCTCCAAGGTTAAGAACTGAGTGGATAAACACAACGCTGCTTTGAGGGGGAAAGGCTGAATCTGAACCTGCTCTCAGATACTCACAAAGTCATCTCCGGAATCGGCTCCAACTGATGTGATCGACTCCTTGCTAACCGATCTGGGCATTCTGGCCACCCCTCCCGGCCGTGACGTGGTGGCCGCTTCTTCGGCGATCTTCTTCTTCAGTTTGGCAAACATGTCCCCAAAGCCACAAGCAGGGTCTCAAAAATAACACCTGCCCCAGATCAAGCAGCCAAAACACAGCAACAGACTGACGAGATTTTCCTTTCGCCCAGAGCTACTGTCCATCCAGTCAGTTTCTCTCCCTCAAGGGGCTCATAGGCCAGTGATGCTTAGAATTCAAAATAAAGAAGAGAGAAACACATAAAAATCAACTCTGACAAGAGAACTGGGTGAACAGAGACCAGTCTAGGTATAAAGCTTAGTTCAAGAACAGTCTGTTCTTAGAACAATTTCAAATTCTTTGATCTCTTTCTGTCCCCCTTCTAAATTTCCTCTGTTCTCTTTCCCTTTTCTGTCCATCAACCAGCAAATACATGTGAATTCGTAGATACATAGGCAACCCATTCTTACTTGATGCAACAAGCCAAAACTCTCATCCACTAAAAAGGACATTCCAAGCAACGTTTACAGAAACTAAATCTGCAAATCTGTAGTTTGAAATTACCTTGGAGTAGCTAAAGATCAACAATTTAAAAAAAAAAATTTAAATGTCAAGATCATCAATTTTTTTAAATTTAAATTGTGATTTGATTTAAATCAAATGTACCCTGATTTAGGTAAAGGTTCCCCTTGACATTTAGTCCAGTCGTGTCCGACTCTAGGGTGCAGTGCTCATCCCCGTCTCCAAGCCATAGAGCCAGCGTTTGTCCGAAGACAGTTTCCGTGGTCACGTGGTCAGCGCGACTAGACACGGAATGCCGCGACCTTCCCACCAAGGTGGTCCCTATTTATCGACTCGGATTATTACATGCTTTCGAACGGCTAGGTTGGCAGGAGCTGGAACAAGCGACGGGAGCTCATTCTGTTGCACGGATTCGATCTTACGACGGCTGGTCTTCTGACCTTGCAGCACAGAGTCTTCTACGGTTTAACCCACAGAGCCACCACGTCCCTACCCTGATTTACTTCCATGCTAACTTAAATTTAGCCACTGAAAGCTAGCCCAAGCAACAGGATCTTATGCTCGGTTCAGGCAGTAAAATACCCTTCCAACGCACTCTGACATGTGGAACCAGTGAAGAATGAGCACACATCCTTTTTGGTTCTGAAATACATTCTAAAGGTCTAGAATCAAATAATGGCGTCTGATCAGGACACCTGCCTGAAAAAGCAAAGGCTTAGAGAAGCTACCATCGAAAGGAAGCATTTCCTAAAACTGTTCAGGAAACTGCCACAAAAAAAAAAACTTTGTTAGCAACAGGCGAGGGACACAAACCAACGAAACACCTTTTTTAGGCCAAGTCTGGAACGTCACCATGTTTGTTTATGATCACTGATTATTCTGTTCATGAATCTCTCAAAAACAAAAATACAGCTGAAAAAATAACACCCGAAAGCAATCACTGAAGCTCGGCTAACACACATCGAAGGAATCGCGGACGGTGCTGAGCGGCAGTTTCCCTCGCTCGCCTTTGGCACATTTATGGCAGTGGCGTCTTTTACGATCGCTTTGCCCCTTCAACTGTTTGTCGGAATGGAATCAAACATGGGACACATCCATACTTCCCAGTTATTTCCCTCTGTACTTTCAGTAGTCAACAGAAACTTTAAAACAAGAGGAGGAATTATGAGACAACTCTGTCCTGCAACTGCACTGCTGTAGGATGTGGGCCGCTTTAGGGCCAGTAAAGTCAGTTCGGCTTTCCCTGGATCTACTGCATGTAAGGGGGGGGAGAGAGCAAGATGAGTTGCCAGAGCAAAGCAGACCCTCCAAAGAGGCCAAACAAGGAGAAAGAACGTTCCAGTTAAACCCCGAAACCTTCTCCTCGCTCAACCACCTATGATTACTCTGAGCAACCATAAATTATTCACTGGGTCCCTTGGTAACTGGACGGCCACTATCAGATACCCGACACTTCCACTCTGAAATACAGAAGCTGGAGGGGCTCCTTGCTCATCTTCAGGCTGATTTTGCAATGCCATTTGTGACTCACAATTTTTTTCTTGTTCATAATAATAATAATAATAATAATAATAATAATAATAATAATAATAATAATAATAATAATAATAATAATAATAATAATAAATCACATGCTGTCAAGACTTCGGGCACCCCTTTTTTCAGGTTTTTTGAGGTAGAGAGTTCTCCCAAGTAGCTTCCCCTTCCCTTCTTCTGGGTGCAGCTGCCCCCCCCCAAGGCCACCCTCGGCGGGCTCTTCCCCTAGGACAGTGGTCCCCAAACTTGGGCCTCCAGATGTTCTTGGACTACAACTCCCAGAAGCCTTCTACTGGCCAGGATTTCTGGGAGCTGAAGTCCAAGAACATCTGGAGGCCCCAAGGTTGGGGACCACTGCCCTAGGAGGCACGCCGCGGGATTCGAACTCCCAACCTCGGATATCTCACTCGCCCAGTAACCCAGGGAGTTTAATTCATCATCATACATACAATTTGAGTAATACACACAATTTGACCCTTTCCAGGGATTTCCCAGGTAGGGAACTCGCTCAGAAGCGGTTTCCTCCCCCCTCCTCTTCCCTTCTTTTTTGGGGGGGACGGGGTGCCGCTGGCCCAAGGCCCCCCCAGGCTGGCTTTTCTTTCAAGGAGGCCCAGTAAGGGTGGGGGGCCGGATTTGAACTCCCAACCTCAGGCCCCGCAACCAGAGGTTCAAACCCCTCAGCAAGATTGGGGGGGGGCGCAAAGAAGGGCGAGGAGCTGACCCCCCTCCCCCCGGGCCTCAAGAGCCCCCCTCAAACCTATCCACGGCGGTTTGGGGAGGGCCCTCCATCTTCCCCACCGCCCTCAGCGACCCTCCTCTTCTCCCCTTCCC